ACCATGAAGGCCCTGACAGCAAGCCAGGAGGGCTTTGGAGTCAGACATTCCAGGACACATGAGGAAGGCACATGACAGTCCTTGGTAGCTGTGTTGTACAAGGTGCTGGTTAATCTTTCTCCTACAAGCAGCCGGAAGAGTCACTTCTGGCAAGAGAATATGAGCGGGTATGCTGCATTCTGTGTCTGTAATTGTTCTTTATAGGCCTTGGACGGGATAAGGGCACAGGGGACCTCTCCACTCCTCCATCTCCCTCTCAGTGAGACAGGAAGGGCAGCCTCCCCTAGCCTCTTGAGAAGACAAAGGGCTGACTGAGTAAACTCTGACAGCATGTGGCCTGTTGTGTCACTGCACTGGGCACTCGGCAAGTCCCAATACACGTCAGCCGTGCCTGCTTCTGATCCTCTTGAAGAGGTCAGACTTCCCCACTGGAGAACGATGGCCCCAAAGGCTGAAGTCCATAGCCCCAGGTTTGACCCCCACCACCACACAGCCCCTGAGCACCAATAAGTGTACTCTCTACCCCTCAAAAAAAGAGAGAGTAGGGTACTGAACATACTTTTTTTTTCCCCAGAAGCCCTCAAAATTCTATTGAAATCACAGTAAAAGCATTTTTCGTTTGTTTACTGGGATACGGATAGCTGTGCTGAGATGAATCACTCCGGACCATGCTCAGGAATCACAAGAGATGCCAGCGATTGAACTAGAGTTGGTCACAGGCAAGGCGAGCACCGAACCCTTGTACTGTCTCTCTGACCTTGTGTGAGTTTTTTATTTTTTTTTGAGTCACACCACTCAACAATGCTCAGGGGTTACTCCTGGCTCTGCACTCAGGAATTACCCCTGCGATGCTTAGGGGACCATATGGGATGCCAGGGATTGAACCTGGGTCGGCCTCATGCAAGGCAAATGCCCTACCCACTGTACTATGGCTCTGGCCCCGTATGAGCATTTTTAAAGGGACAACCCTGTCTTGGAAAAGGAGGCGGGGGAGAAAGTGTAAGAGCTAGGAGCAACACACTTTTCAGAGGTGGACAGCTGTGAGAACAGCCAAGAGGCAAGAAGTACGATTTATACAGCAAACCACCCCACCCCACGCCTGCCCCATCAAGTGACTGGTCCTGGGGTTGCTTGGTGGTGTGAAAATAAACCTAGAGGAATTGCCTCAAGTCTGCTTGAAAGGACAGGGAAGTGGCTCGGTACTAAGTTGTATGCCAGGCATGCGTGCGGCGTGGGTTTCAATCCCCGGCCCCACAAACACAAATAAACAAAAGTCTGTTTGAAAGGCAGCAGGACCCCAAAGTTCCAATACCCTCACCCACATCCACCGGGCCACGCAACTGCCCCTTCCATTGGGAGAAAATAGAAAATCTCTGGGGCGGGGGACAAATCCGGGGTTGGGCAAATAAATGCACACATATGCACGTCGCTCTCCAGTCCCTCTTTCTCTATCTTGCTCTGGAGTTCTGAAGGCCAAGCCGTCAACATCCAGGCAGGAGGCTGAAAATCTTTCTCTAAACGAACAGCAGAGCTAAAAAAGCACCAAGTACCAAATTTACCAATGGCCCTGCCAGCATGTATTAAGTAATGTCCACAACAACTGCCCAGGGTCTGAGTTAGAGTCTCAGCTGCCTATGTGTCCGTTCCCAAGAAGACCTGTTACCAATGCGATGAGTATGGCAGGCTAATACAACAAAGGGAGTCCGAGGAGGCAGTGAACTTCGATTTAATCAGTTAATCAGTTAACTTCGATCCAAAGGAGGGAAGGCCCATTCTAATCAGCCGAGCCCATTGCAAAGAAGGGTCCTGCGGGGACGGCACAGGGCACAGTGGCTAACACCCTTGCTTTGCTACTATGAGGTCAGGAGTTTGACTCCCAAGGCTGGGCCATGTGCCAAGTGCAATCTTGGTAAGTCTGCTGCTGATGCCTGGCAGCCGTGCTGAGATTTCCAGCTGTGCCAGAGCCAGGTGTGGCACTTGCGGGGGCACTGCGGTGGTAACCCCCCCAGGAAGCACTGCGATGGGAACGTGCGTAAGCGCCATTTACAGATGCAGGTCCTGACGAGCACTCAAGTGAGCGCCCCAGGCAAAAGCACATGACCCCTGGGGAGCCCCTTGGTTTGAGTTGTGTGGGCCTACAACCTGATTGTGTGACACCTCCAAACCAACCCCTGTGAGCACAGAGCCAACAAGCACGTGCTCATCCCCTGGTCACACATGCTCCACTCTAGGGAGGGAGTGAGAAAGGGGAAATAGATCAAAGTGAAAAATATAGAGTCTTGGGCCAGCAATGGAGCACGGGCATTGCGGAGCATCGGGAAAGGTCCTGAGTTTGATCCCTGGCACCAAAATACAAGCACAGGTAAAGAAATAAACCAAGTGCCCTAGAACAGATGACTGGTTAAAGAAACTTTGGTACATCTACACAATGGAATACCATGCAGCTGTCAGGAGAGATGAAGTCATGAACTTTGCTTATAAATGGATAGACATGGAGAGTATCATGCTCAGTGAAATGAGTCAGAAAGAGAAGGACAGACATAGAAGGACTGCACTCATTTTGTGGACTATAAAACAACATAACATGAGGCTGACGCCTAAGTATAGTGGATACACGGAACAGGTAGATTGCTCCATAGCTGGAAGCCTGCCTCATGAGCAAAGGGGAGAAGGCAGCTGGGATAGAGAAGGGATCGCTAAGAAAAAGATGGCTGGAGGAATCGGTCGGGATGGGAGATGTGTGCAGAAAGTGGATAAAGGACCAAACATGATAACCTCGCAGTGTCTGTATTGCAAACCATAATGCCCAAAAAGCAGAGAGAGATTATGGGGAATCATGTCTGCCATGGAGGCAGGGGGAGGGTAGAAAAGGGGGTGCATATCGGGGATACTGGTGGTGGGGAATTTGCACTGGTGGAGGGATGGGTGTTTGATCATTGTGTGATTGTAACCCAAACATGAAAGCTTGTAACTATCCCATGGTGATTCAATAAAATTAAAAAGAAAAAAAAACAGAAATAAACCAAACCATAAGGAAAAAATATAAAAACCAAAACAAACCAAAAAAAAAATAAATAAACCCCCAAAAACCCCCCCAAAAAACACCAACTTTGCTAGCTTCTTTTGTTTTGCCTCCACAAGTCTTGCTTTTCCTACCTTGGAATCATTCCTAGTTTCTCTCAAACGAGAGCAAAATATTAATCAGCCAATTTTTTCCCTGCTGCCTGACCTGACTGGTGAGCCCAGGAGTAAGGCATCGCCTCTGCTGCGCTTGGCTGCTTTCAAGTAACTGTTCACCTACTGTAACTGTAACCCACGAGGCAGAAAAGACAATAGCTAGTATCATCTTTGTTAAACCCACTTTCAGGCCTACACCTTAGAGAGAGAGTGTGTATGCATGCCCAAGCTTGAAAAATCCTAAAACATCTAGAGACCGAAAATATGTATTGAATAACTAACTACTAGGTCAAGGAAGAAATCCAAGAGAAACATTTAAAAATCTCGAAGACAAATAAGAATGAAGTCAGAAGTGATCAGGTCGTGTGGGGTATAAGCAAAAAACAGTACTAAGACGGAATGAAGGTCAAAGTCAGGGTTACACCAAGAAACAGAGGAAATCTCAAATAAACAATCTGACCTCACACTTTAAGGCACTAGATAAAAAGAAGAAACAAATTCAAAACTCATTAGAAAGCAGGATGCAAAAAAAAATTAAGAAACAAAAACACAAATTATCGATGAGATCGAGAGGAGATAGTTTCTTGTAAAGGACTGTCAGGCAGGATAATCCTTTCTAGCAAGGCTCATGGGGGGGGGGGGGGAAGATATTTGGGTTGGTGGGTGGATTGGAGGATGAGCAACTGCAGAATGCAAGTCAAGAAAGTATAACTCCATACAGGCAGGCTCAGAGAGTTTTCTCCCAACTTTTCATTTTGAAAAAGTATATATCTAGAGGGAGATGAAAAGAGCATAAATCTACAACCACGGGTCCTTCATCTTCAGCAGCCAGCAATACTGTGGTATAGGCAGCATTTTTTTCAACCTTTAACACTGGCAGACAGGTGAAAAGAGAAGGAATATTTCACCAACCGCTAAAGCAGAAGTGAAAAACAGCATCTGTAATCAGGATATTCCTACAGTTATTATCCATACACAGTTCAATATTTGTAACAGCACAGCATGATCCAAGGGAACCTTGTGCTGAGCAGCAGAAACTTCCCTGAGGAGTGGCAAGAAATCTCTGAAAGCTGGCACGGGTCGGGACGAGCAGCTGAAAAGCACTTCTACAAACAAGTTCTCCAAAGGCAACAGAAAAGAAGAGCGAGAGAACTAGTCTGCAGCAGGAGGTCTAGAAGCTGGGGACAGGAACACAGGAGGACAAGGGGGGAGGGGGAGAGTGCCTGCCACAGAGGCAGGCTGGGGAGGCAGGAGGGAGACTGGGGACACTGGTGAAGGAACATGGGTATGCCTGACACTTAATAATGAGTAACTTTGTAACTCTGTAATTCACAGGGATTCAATGTAAAAAAAAAAAAAACTCTCTTAATGTGACCTGTCACATTTACAGGAGAGTCTGCTACTGCCCTATGACATCTAAGAAATTGAAGTTGATATAATAGTATCTAGCGTTAGGTTCCAAACTCATCAAGTTTTCCAATTATTATTCAGGAACAGAATTTAAACACTTCACCTAGTCCAGAGCCCGATCACGGATTCATGCACGGCGTCCGTCCTATCAGCTGACTTTTCTTAAATCTAGTGCACGATGCAGTCAGTCTTTTATTTATCATCCTGTTGTGACAGTAACCATTCTGGCCCAGTTTAGTTTTTCAAGTGTTCCTGGTCCAAGAAACCCAAAGATGACACAAATGGTTTCGAATTGAGCAGCCTGTGTCATCTTGGGCGGGGAACCTATATCTTAATGTCAAGACCACACAGGTCAGGAGTGCAGACATGGAACAGTTCAGCCTCACGGCTCACGGTTACTCGGCTTGACTCACCGCTGTGTGGGAGCAGGCCAGGGAGTCTGGCTGGGCGTGGGCATTGAGTTCGTGGGGCTCACTAGCATGGCGCTGTAGATATTGGAGGCCACTACGAGGATGCAGAGCAGTATGGGTCCGATGATCGCTCCCTCCAGGCCAAGGTAGTAGGCACCGCCCGCCACGGCCAGGCCGGTCAGGTAAGGATGGCCACCCCTGCAACGAAGAGCAAGGCCAGCTCAGGACACGGAGCCAGCAGGAACCCGGGAGTCCATCCTGAACCTCTCTTGACCACCAGGGTCCGTTCTTGGGTACCAAAGGCCAGACCACTTGTCACCGGCTTTCCTTTGGTTGCCTCAATACAATGAACTGGGCATGGGTTGGAACACCACAAAATCCAAGAATTTTCTTGCCCAGGAAACATGTGAGACACCTGCCCTTGCCACAGGCCAGGCAACGGAAGGAGTGAAGTCAGCCTGTCAATTGGTTTCTGGCACTGATTGTGGGGCCAACACTACCTCGTCCTGGGTACGGACGTGGCCTATTAGGTTGACTTCCATCAAGCATCACTGTGTGGGCATTATTTAGCCTGTCATTCAATATGATTTTCACTAGCAGAGATACTCTTGTATCACTGTCACTCAAAGATTACATCTTCCGGTAACCTACTAAAATACTGTCTTTAATCACCGATAAAAGGCATCCAGAGGGCAAGGTCTATTACAAAACCTGAGAGTTTTCATTCTGAGGAATACCATGATGGTTGGTTGCCTGGTGGTCAAAGACTCACTTATGTAACTGAAGAAGATTAGATAAATTGTAGGAGCAGACCACCGTGGTAGAACAAGTGAGGAATAAATATAAGGCAGATTCTCTTTGTTTCAATCATTGAAACACAGGTAATTGGACCAATTTAGCAAGGAACCAACCACTAAATACTTTGGATAGTCTGTGTTATTATATTACATTTCAGTAAGTAATGTTTAAGGTGAATCAGTCTTGAGGCAACTAATGTGTGTGTAATTTTTCTTCTTCATTATAGAGTATAGTCTGGAATACCAATCCAAAAATAATATGTGAGCTGTTTTCCCTAAACAATGCACTTGAGAAAAATTTCTATCACAAGTTTTAAAGCTTTGGGGGCTAGTATGATAACAGGAGATAGGGTGCTTACCTGGTCTATGACCAACCCAGGTTCAACCCCGGCACCCTATGTGGTTCCCCGAATCCTACCAGGAGTGATCCTTGAGCACAGAGCTAGGAGTAAGCCCTGGAATGGTCGGGTATAGCCCCCAAACAAAAACCGACTTTTTGAGCTTTAAAAATAATAAGCAACTATTGGTATTTTTATAGAGAATTGCTCACCGGAGACTGAGCACAGGATCTCAAACATGCAAAGCATGAACTCTACTACTTAGCCTTTATTCCCAGCCAAATTTGGCAGCATTCAAATAAAAGCTTCCTTTATTAAAAAAAAAATTATTTATTCAGGTTAGGGATGCAGCTCTATGACTGCCATGACTCACATGTATAAGACTCTGGGCTTGATCCCCAACACCAAAAACACAGAGAGAAGAACTCAGGTAAAAATCTCTCATCTCCTAAGGATATTTTTTAAAGTATTATTTTATTAAAATAAGACAACATAGAAAACTTCTAGTTAGAAATTGTACCATAAAATTATGGCAATATTTAAATAGGAAAGAGAGCACTTAAAACTATAAATTCTACAACTACAAGTAATTGCCATTTACATTTCAACTGTTAAGACTTGCAAACCACACTCCGCTGAGCTCCTTTCATCTTTAACTCTCTTCAGCAAGTTTTAGGCACAATGTTCCTATCATAAGGCTTGCTGTGGAGTTTCTTGTGCGCTAAGACACTTTGCATCATGTTCGCTTTTAATTTGCTAGCCAGAAAACCAACTGGTATCCCGTGTGGCTCTGTGGAATTTCACATCAACTGAAGAGCCCTCCCTCGATAAACTCTCATCTCATCATACATGATTTTTTTTATACTTAATGTCAATGAAAAAAAAAAAGGACAATTTTAGAAGATCGCTTTGAATGTTTTCAGCTGATCACAATTCAACATATGATTATCTTCTAGAGTCCAATAAGCTTTTAATGTGAATGTAACTAAATGGGAACTGGCTTGACTTACTCAGAGCAATTTGAAAGAGATAAAAATCTACAAAAAAGTCTACAAAAAGTGTCTCTGTGTGTGTGTGTGTGTGTGTGTGTGTGTACATATGGCAGTTCTTCCTTAAATGTAACCTGCTTTCATCCTAAGACCATACTATAATTGGAGATTTCTGCTTGATGAGATTTGGTTTTATAGGGAAATTCTCAGACACACAATCCAATAATATTTTCCTCTGAGAGCAGAGGAGCTCTGGGGCCAAGGTACACTTCAAGGGCTGTATCAGTCAGGCTTTCCATATACAAGGCCCTTGGTTTATCTCCTGACATCATCAAACAGGAAATAAAGCAGAAAAATAAGAGAGGCAAAGAAGCTCTGAAGACAAAACACTAATGTATTATTATATTTAAAGTCTCTTACATATATGTAGGCCTCTTTCTAGATTACATGTCACTAAATTAAACTTCATAATAGACTGACTCGTTATTAAATATACTTTCAAGGTATCACAGAAAGACGATTTCAGGGAACACTCCTAACACCTGTACTTCTTTCCTCATTCCCCGCAAAGGCAAAAACCAACTAAACAACCAAAAACTTCTTAAATAAAGGGCACAAAAAGATTCCCCAGCAGGGACGTTCTGGGGGATACTTACCCTGATATGTCTGAGTAGATGGCGGTATCAACGAAGTATGTCGGCAGGAGGTGGAAAACCAAGAGCAAGACAGCTTTGCACCCTAGGCCTTGTGCCAGCCACAGGTCCAGCACTGCCGGCACGGCTGCCCAGTACGTCCCCAGAAAGGGCACTGCTCCCAGGATGGCGGCCAGCGCTGATCAAGGGCAAAAAGGAAGGACACAATACTGTCACCCAACAGCAGAACCTAAGCACCCACCACTGAAAACTCTCCCCCCACCCAAATCGGTTAAAGAAATACAGACTCCAACTTTGGAGGGCTTTTTTACAGAGCTTGCTTCGTAAACCAAGAACCTGCATCTTAACTGGAAACTGAAAATCTTTCTGGTGTGTGCCTCCTTCGAGGGTGGCGGGGTCAGAAGGAATGGTTGGGTCACACCTGGCAGTGCTCAGGAGTTACTCCTGGCTTGGCACATGAGAATTACTCCTAGCAGTGCTCTGGAGACCATATGGGATGCTGGGGATCAAACCTGTGTCAGCCTTGTGCAAGGAAAGCAAGCACCCAACCTGCTGTACTATCTCTCCAGCCCGCAGTTCTTATTCTGAGTCAATGATTAGTTAATTAATACAGTCATGTATCATACGTGGTGACTGCTGTAACTGTAGTTTGTGCTGGGGCCCAAAGCCAAATCAGAAGTTAATTTCAAAACCTCAGAATCGAATCTCTTTTCTTCACATTCCTTCTAATAAAATGGCATTTCCCGAAACGAAACAAAAGGGGCACTGCCAGGCAGCACACTGGGGACAGTCTGGCTGCCCCACCCAAACAAACAGGTCCTAATTCTGGTCCTGCCATTCAAAGGCACGATTCTGGGAGACTCGGGCTTTTCCTTTTCCCAAAAGACCACTGGCCAGGCTGCCTACTTCTCAAAGACCACCCACTCCATGTGCTCCCAGGCTGCGTGCATATCAGAGGATGGTTAAGTAGGCACCGAAGTAGAAAGGCGAAGGCAGACACAAAAGAGTGAAAAAACAGGAGCTGGAGCGATAGCACAGCGGGTAGGGCATTTGCCTTGCATGTGACTGACCCGCGTTCAATTCCCAGCAACCCATATGGTCTCCCGAGCACCTGCAGCACTGTGGCACTGTCCTCCCGTTGTTCATCGATTTGCTCGAGCAGGCCCAGTAACGTCTCTATTGTGAGACTTGCTGTTACTGTGTTTGGCATATCAAATATGTCATGGGGAGCTTGCCAGGCTTTGCCGTGCAGGCGAGATACTCTCGGTAGCTTGCCGGGCTCTTTGAGGGGCAGAAGAATCAAACCCAGGTTGGCCGTGTCAGCCGAGTGCAAGGCAAACATCCTACTGCTGTGCTATCGCTCCAGCCCGGCCCCCTGAGCACTGGCCTCCCCCAAGCACCACCAGGAGTAATTCCTGAGTGCAAAGCCAGGAGTAACTGTGCATTGCGAGGTGTGACCCAAAAAGCGAAGAAAAAAAAAGAGTGAAAAAACAGCAGCAGAGGTAAATGCAGAAGACACGCTGCCACAGAAATTAAGGAAGGAAAAAAGAAGAGACTGGAGAGAGAGTACAGCAGATAGAGCGCTTGCCTTGGATGTGGCTGACCCTGGTTCATTCCCCAGCACCACATATGGTCCCCCTGAGTCCCGCCAGAAATGATCCCTGCACAACAGGAGTAAGTCCTAAACACTGCCAGGTTTGGCCCCAAAAAAACAAAACTAAAAATAGAAGCAGGGGACCAGAGGAGGTAGCAAAGAGGAAAAGGCCAAAGGAATTTGCCTTCTGCCAAAAAACCATCAAATCATCCCAGTGCTTATGGATGAGGATCTGATGGGAGTGGGACTTAGGAAGCATGCAGCCAAGTGATTAGCCCCGGACAGAGGCTTTCATCTTCTACACTGCCCACACCCCGAACTCTCAAACCTTGTATTGTCACAGGACTCAAGCTGTCTCACCAGCCTACTGGTCCCTGATAAGGAGTTCGACTTAAACACCCAGTGCAAAGGACACGGTACATAATGGGCTAAATGCTAGAACATTCACTCAACAGGTCCATACGCAGGGCTCTCCATATACAGGAAGAGTTACTGGGGACGCAGTAATGAAGGAACACTGCAAATGATGCCTCTGCTATAAAGAACCAAACATGATGACCCTTCAGTATCTGCCCTGCAAACCATAATGCCCAAAAGGAGAGAGAGAGTATGGGGGAAATTGTCTGCCATGGAGGCAGGGGGAGGGTGGGAGAGGGGAAGGGATATACTGGGGACACTGGTGGTGGAGAATGTGACCTGGTGGAGGGATGGGTGTTTGATCATTGTATAACTGAAACTCAAACATGAAAGTTTTGTAACTGTTGTAACAGTATCTTACGGCAATTCAATTTAAAAAAAAAGAAGAAAAATGAAACAGGAAAAAATGCAAAATAATGGCTCTGCTCATCAAGTTAGATCTCAAGTCACAAAATCCGGCAGTTTAAACTTCAGGAAGATGGCATCAGCTTTCATTGAGTAATTTGGAGTTATGATATGATTGTTACCTGATGGTATGAAGACAATATTGATGCCAAATATAGTGTGAGTCAGCCAGGTATACAGTCCGTAGAAGCCGGCCATTTTGAGGGACGCATCAAACACCCCCCTAGAATGCCCAGAGACAAAGGGAAAGCAAATAAACACATCAGACTGTGAGCCACAAAAAACCAGCTTCTGGTTTCTTCACTTCAAATATAGTAACTTCTATTTTTTTTTTCCTAATAGCCTGAGAATGCTGTCTTCATCGTATTTCAAACAAACATGACTCTATTTTAAAAACCTGCAATCTGTTTATTATTTTTTTCACTTATAAAAAAAAATAGGTAAAACATTTGAAGATACCCAAGTCACCGAAACAATCAAGTTTTCACTCCTGAAGCAGATCTTCTACTGCCAAAATAAATGAAAAGAAAATTAAAGATGAATATCTGATGTCTGAGGATACTGAGACAATAAGAAATTCAGGCTGTGGCTGGCTCTTCCTTCCCCTCTGGAAAGAGCAAGGGAAGAACTTGTACTTCATCGGTCTTCTCTTGTCAACAAAATTCCCCCACATTTCTTCCAAGCACATAGACAAGCCTACGAATGAACTCTTCCATGGAGGCCAGTCATGGGGAGAAAAAGTATCAGGGGGAAAAGATACCATGTTAACTCCAAAGTAAAATCAGAAAGAAAAATTAACAGCAAGGTAAAAAACAGACCCACATATTGGGTGAATAAAAAGAATGAAGGGCAAGAGAAACGACAAACTCAGGTGCGTGCATCCTTCCTGCTTTTAGTAGGAAGATTACTACGGCAAGAAGGAGCTGCTCAGAGAAAGTGCAGAGACTTTTAAATTATTCCAAGGTGTCACAAAATTACACACCTGAAGATGTGCATGGTGTGGGGAAGGCACACTCGCTGACTCCCGAAGGAGGGAAGCTGCCTGAAGCTTCGAGAAACAGACAGTGGCAGCCCAGAAGATGCTGTATGCACAGAAGCAGACACCAAGCTTGCTAAAGCATCCATGAGGTGTAGGATCTGGAATCTAGGGGTTCGGAGACCAGGGTTTTGGTGAAACCTTCCTCATCATCCAGCCCAACAGTCTCATTCATGACTCTGCAATGCCATGTGACCACCGACAATAAGGATCTAGGTTTAAAAATGAAAAGTATGCAGCATCAAGAAAGACTGAGAGGAAGACAGCCCACACAAGACAGGAATGGTTCGAACAGTGACTGAACAGATGAGCGGAAAGAAAAAGAGAAAATGGCAGAGTTGCAAATTGCAAGCCTCCTGGAGAAAATAGCGGGGGGAAAAAAATAAAAAAGGTGGCTTCTCAACACAGGGAGAAGCCCAGAATTGGAAGAAAAGGGAACATGTTTAATTTTGGACAATGGTTAAGAAAAACAGGATGTTGAAAATGCCCAAGAACTGAGATAAAGAAGCAAAGCTTAGCAGAGAACTTGAGACAAGGGGTCTGTGATGCACCAAAGACTAATCATAGGAAAAGATAAGATAATCAAGGGGCAAGGCTATAGAAAAAGGGGCAGTGGCTGTGTTCTCCCAGGGGACTGAAGGACAAAGATACAACAGCCACAGGGATAATGAAATCATTTCTGTAACAGAAAGATAATCACGAGAGTAGAATTCCTACAGACCAAAGGAGATTTGAAAACCAGAAAACTCCTGGAGGGGGCCGGAAGGGGTAGAGAGCTCGCCTTGCATGTGGCCAATCCAGGTTTGATCTCCAGCCTGGTCCCCTGCGCACTGCAAGAGTAATTCTGGAGTGTAAAGTCAACCTCTAAGCACCCCCAGGTGTGTCCCAGAAAGCAGAAAACTCTTGAGCCTCACTTCCTCAATCGTAAAGGAGGGTTAACACAAGTGGATCTCAGGACACCTTTACGGAGAGTAATAATGCAAAGGGGAGACAGTGGCAGGAGACCACATGCTGCACACAGACCCGCTGATGGAGCAACTGTACCAAACAGTCACCCAGATACCAAGCGTGGCCCTGAAGGCCACGGAGCACTGGACTACTGAGTCCCAGCACTGGGTGTTCAGGGTGGCCCAACTGAGACCCAGATAGCTAGGAGTAGGCTCTGGACCCCTCAAGCAGTGCCTGAGAGGCACTTCCCCTGCATGCCCCCAAATAATACAATTATTTAAGAGCTAGCAATTAAGCTTAGCGATTTAAGAGCTAACTAAGCTTAGGGATCTGGTGCACAGTAGCACTAAATGAAGTAAGTTACATTACAGAAGTCTGTCCATCATCCCCAAGCCTATCTGTGATGTGGTAAGGCTAAATGCAGTGCACAGACTAGCTGGTCTCTCCTCCTTCCAGTTTCTGGACATTTATCTAGCTCTCCTTTGTGTCAAAGAGGTACAATCAAAGGCATGACAGGTCTAAGAGTGTAAGTAGCATATCACAAAGTTTTGGGCTAATTATCGAAAACTGCACTGACCAGGCTATTAAAATTAAATAATTAACAGGATCACTTGGAACATAAAATCCAGAGATGACTAGGAATAATCTATGTCTATAGTCACGCAAAACCCTATCTGCACATCGCTAATGGCATGCGCAATGTAGTTTCAATGGGCAAGCAAAAATCATTGATTTCATCAACGCGAGACTACTCCGAGATCCAATAAATTCTTTTCTCATTAACACACTCGTGATAACAAACTATGAATTACAATGTTGGTGGCGATGGGGGTGTCGAGAAGTCCCAGGCCCTGAGGACACCGTGGGGCGCTCGGCCACCAGTAATCAGGACACATATGTCTAAGGAAAAGGAACAGAAGGACAGCGAAGGGTTAAAACTAAATTCTGGGCCCAGGGAGATAATACAGTGGGGAGGGCACTTGCACTGCTCAGAGCTGAACCAGGTTCGATCCCTGACACCACATACCCTGAGTACCTCTAGGAGTGATCCCTGAGCACTGCCAGGTATAGACCAGCACCCCCAAACAAAATTTAGGTCTGGGCCTAAGAGAAAGTTCAATAGGTAAGCGCATGCTCTGCATGCAGGAGACCCAGGTTCAATCAATACCCGGCACTGTACAGAAACACCAAGCCGGTAGTAGCCTGAGCACCACTGGGTGTGCCCTGGAATAAATCACACACAGAAAATTGAATTCTGCCTGTCCGCAACACCCTGAATGTTAGGTCTGCCCTCTTCTCTTTCTAAGGGCAACACAGAAAAGAGAGAGGGTCGCCCCAGCTTCGACAATCACCACATAGATAAAACTGCCCTCTGGGAGAAGTATCCCCGGCAACCTCGATCCCCACTAACCCCTCCTGAGCAATCACAGTCATGGTCCATCTGCTCCAGAACACCCCGTTCCCCAGTACAACACACACCCATCTGGATGACAATGGCGTACCCATTCCCAAGGGCGGGCGTGCCGAATGTACTGCTGCAGGGCACGGGGGAGAGCTGAAAGCATGCCATGCCCACCGGGAACGCCAGCAGCCACACACGGAAGCACACCAGCAGGGGCGCCGCACTGGGGCATCTCAGGAGAGGCACTATTTAATTCAGTATCTCCTAATTACTAATGCATGAGTCTATCTTTGACAATGCTCACTGCCCAGGGACTCTTATTTTAATGCCACCTGGAAAATCAACAAGGGCTACTGCTATTACAGAAGCAAACAGGAAAAAAAAAAAGAGATTAATTCATCAACGTTAGTTCGAGTATAGGCCTATTAAAATTAATTCAGCGATTTTTTTAAGCATCCCTGTGAGAAACTATACATAAGACAAAGCTTTTGAAGGTCATTTTCTTTGAAAACTCAACGAAATAGTTGATTCCTACTGGACCCATCTTGTATCAAGTGGGTTAAAAAGCATTTATACAACTTGATTAACTAAGAACTTGAGCTAATTCAATTTTCCCAATTATGCAAAAGAGATTCTGCCTCTGTATTCCAGGGTCAGAGAGACGGCCCTTTAAATAAACAAAAACACGTTTTCTTAAAAGCTTTAAACTCTTGCCACTTTAAACAAATACCACTTAGAACCTTAAAATCCACAAGGAAAGTTTTCCAGTAAGTATTTCATTTGCTCAAACTCAAAACTGAAAATACAGATTAAATGGCACTTTATTTAAAAAAAAAAAAAATTCTCCAAAATTGAGAGGCAGAAGTGAGGAGCATGACCACTCCCCAAATGAAAATGTTTGGGAACACACGTTCTCTCACCTAATTCATCGGCAGAATTCGCACCCACCAGCACCGAGTAGCTGTAATTCCACAAGCAAGAGCCATACCCGGGTGCATGCACTCGTGTGGGAATACCACACACACTAAATTGCACGGAGGCCGTGACAACATGCAACTTAGAGATGTGCAATACCTCCACCAGAGCAAGCAGGGGGTGGGGGGCATCCGGGAGGAAGGGGAGATGCGAACATTCAGGGCAGTCCATGCGCGAAGGGGAGGAAAAGGGTTTGGGGTGCATGCCGCTCCATCTGAGCTCCACAGAACCAAAACCCAAGGAATACGCCTCGGAGGAACGTGTCTTCAGAACTGAGGACAACAATGAGGGTTCAAAAATTCAATGACACAACGGTGATGATGTGGACACATATTTCAGAAGGCAAAGCTCAAATAACAAAGACACTCTCACTGTCTTGGACGTGCACTGAACTCCCAACTGCAATTTCACTCTTAATGCTATTTTTTTTTTCTAATGGATCAGAGAGAATAAGTTCAGTGATTTCTACTTAATAGTGCGATGATAATTGGTACTTTAAAAAGTGAGTGATCACTAAGAATTTGCAGGTGAAATTGTACTGGGGACTTTACAATTTACTTTAATTAAAATTGCATAAATATTTTCCCCTCCATGAAGAAACATTTTCCCCCTCTTGAAGACAAGTCTTCAGAATTTAGAAACAAATAAGCAAGAAGATTCTCCAGAGGAAACTGCAAAGTTCATACATTTTTTAATTTGTCTCGAATTTAACTCCAAAGAAAAACAGAACAAAAGGACTTCAACTGCTAAAAGTCTTCTACTACAATCTTTATACTGCGTGATGGATACATATCATTCTGGATAGATAAATGGTTGAGCTAGTTTAGTGCACACTCCCGTTTTCAGTCTTGACAAAAATCTATCAGCTTTAAGAACCATTAAAACTTAAGAGATTTGGTACTGAGAGCTGTCAATTTTTTTTTCTTGCAAAAAAATAAAATGGGGCCAGAAAGATAATACAGGGATAAAGGTCCATGCAGAGGCCTTCAAATATGACTGGGTGTGGCCCTGGAGACCCCCCCCCCCCCAGCACTGCTGGAAGAATGGGTAATCCCCGGAACCAAAGTGCATCTGGAGGGGGCCACATCCAGTGATACTCACTAGCTACTGGAGGTATGGTGCTTGGTGGGGGAGATGACAGAGATGTCATTATATATCCACAGATGACAATATCTCTTTTAATATCAACTCTAAACCAAATTCTCCCCTAAGCCAAAAATCTTAATTTTCAGCTGCCAGCCTTGTGTATTCATCTGAACAGACTTATTACAATTCCATAGATCTAATTCACGATGTTCTGTGATTTAAAAACACAAAATTAGAAAAAACTGAATACACAAAGATCTTGTGTCATAGTGAGAGTCCACGCTACAAGATGAGCGATAAAGTCTCATCCTTCTCAAGGTTCGTTGTAGACAGGTAGACAGTATTCCGTGATGCCTGACTTAACGAGATGGTTGATCTACTAAAGTCTTTGTTATTAACTAGAGCCTTTATTATGGTTGATACAATAATTTTTTTTTTTTTGCTTTTTGGGTCACACCCAGCGATATTCAGGGGTTACTCCTGGCTCTGCACTCAGGAATTACTCCTGGCAGTGCTTGGGGGACCATATGGGATGCTGGGGATCGAACCCGGGTCGGCCGCGTGCAAGGCTACCTGCACTATTGCTCCAGCCCCCTGATTCAACACTTTAATCCACTGGAAGGCAGAAGGCTGGTTACTTTTCCTTCTTGGGAGAACATTTGCATAAATCTTTTGGAATCCAACAGATGTTACTTGGAAAATCTAAAGCTAGAATTCTCACCACTGGGTGAAAACTGGTGGCTGTGAAGCTTAGAAGAGACAGCAAAGACAGGGTCTTCCCTGGAGACGGCTTTACCCTGAAGTAGTTTCAAGAGAAAATGTGCTTCGAAGCATAGGTTTCTACATGCAAAGAGGGTGTGAGGTACTTGACACCAACACCTGAGGGCTTGACACCTGGGGGCATAAGAACTTTTTTTTTCCCTCTTTGGGTCACACCCAGTGATGCGCAGGGGTTACTCCTGGCTCTGCACTCAAGAATCACTGGTAGTGCTGGGGAGCCATATGGGATGCCTGAGATCGAACCCGGGTCAGCCACGTGCAAGGCAAACATGCTCCCCACTGTACTATCACTCCGGCCCCAGGCATAAGAACTTTTATTTATAATCCCTCTTTGCTTGTTGGAGGGAGCCACGTCTGGTGGTGCTTGTGAACTACCTGTCGTGTGATGCTGGGTAACCTTGTTCTCAGAACTGAACCCTGGGCCCTGCCTTCAAAGCAGGCACTCCAAACTTTTGCGTCATTTCCCCAGATCTTTTTGGGTTTTTTGAGTCTTATTTTTGTGCCACACCTGGCAATACTCGGGGACTACTCCTGGCTCTACACTCAGGAATCACTCCAGGTGGTGCTCAGGGGATCCTATAAGATAACGGGGATCGAACCAGGTTCGGCCACATACAAGGCAAACACTCTGCCTGCTGTACTATCTCTCCAACCCATCTCCCCCAGATCTTTTTAATCCTACTTCATGACAGATCAAGGAAGCAAGATGAAGACTTTTCTGGAGTTCCTTTGTAAATGCTTAGATTCAATGATGCCCAATTCAAGTACTGCTGAATAAAGACAATTAGGATCTTTAAGAAAACCAAAACAAAACAAAAAACACCTTCATACACTCTTGCTAGTAAGAAAACGGGGGTGGGGATGTAAGAACCAACATTTCCAGAGAGATTACATGTTCAGGGGACGAATGCTACTTGAACATAACTGGGGTTTGCAAAAATCAAAGTGATATCCTTACCAGCTGCTACATGAATACAGTGAAAAAAAAAAAAAACAACCAAAAAACAAGTGAAGAGCAGCTGGGCAGGATTACTGGATAATTCAAGAGACTTGTGGGAGACGAGTTACAAGCAGTGGTATTTTCAAAATGCATGTGAAAACAGAACAGACCAGCCCAAGATTTTCAACTCCAAAGGAGTTTACGATCATCTGGCACATGAATTATCTGAAAAGAAACGGGGGTCAGGGAGAGCACGCAAAGGGTCAGAGTGCATGCCTGGCGGCAGGAGTCCCCAGGGCTAGGCTCCGCCAGCACTACACGATCACATCCCTCTGCCTGCCTCCATAAAGGAACATAGTGAACAGCATGAGGGTCTCATATGAGCAGCTGCTCTCCAGTAGTAAAACTGTATTAATATCAATGAGTTAGGAGCAATGAGGGACAGGGTGGAGCGAAGAACCCAGACAGAGACAGGCGTGGACGACAAAAGCCCCCTGCCCCTGAGCGATGACACAGAGGAAAAGGGGGCCGGCACCCAGTGATGCGGACAGAGCATCGGGGTGGGGGGTGGGGAGATGAAGGTGAACAACTGTCATATTCAGAAACCAGGTCTGCCATCCACGGGCCACAGAGGACATGACAGAAGTTTCTGGCCAGAACCTGTGGGTGCGCAGAGCACCCCTGACCTGAAACTGAACAGACTTGACATATGCAGTGGACAGTCGACTTCCCGCGGAGGGCACGGGCCCCACTAGAGACAGGAAGGAAGGGGAGATTCCGCAGAGGAGGAGGGGGCTGCTGAGGAGTGAAGGCCGTGTGTGTGTGTGTGTGTGTGTGTGTGTGTGTGTGTGTGTGCGTACGCGCGCATGCTTGCACGCACGCGTGTGTGTGTGTGTGTCTCCGTGTCTCTGTGTGGTACAAAGCAAGCAAGGTGCTGATATGGGGACTTGTGGGTGGGAAGCTGGCGGTCGTCTGCACTCCCACTTTGGAAAGCACAGGCTCCGCCGTGTGCAACTGCCTTGAGTATCGCTTTTCTTTTTTGTTCCTTGTCAAGATTCGCGTTGCTCATTAATATCCTCGAGAGGAAATGAATGTTTCTTTTCTTTTCTGTTTTTGAGCCCTTCCCAATGGTGCTGGGGCGGGGAAACGCTATGGGCTGCCGGGGATCAAACCCAGGATGTGGACAGAGCATCGGGGTGGGGGGTGGCGAGCCAGACAAGGACCCGACCCACTGTCCTATGGCTCCCAACGTCCGCCCACATTTTTTTCTTCTTTTTAACGCCAAGGTCCATCACTAGCTGCAGCTGAGCGACACGAGGAAGCTGGCTCTGCCTGAGGAGGACGGGGCATGAAGACAGCACCAGTCTCCGTCCTACCTGATCGCTTCTTCCACAGACTGGCCGATAATATTAGAAGAGGGACCTGGCTGGGAGAGCGGGGTCAGGCTGATGACCCACTTCACGGGCTTGTAGTACTCATCGCTGGAACTTAACAGGTAGAACAGCGTGGTCAGGAAAATGATCTGCAAGACAAAGGACAGGATCTCAAAAAAAAACAAACAAACTCGCACTGAGCACTGAGTGGAAAGAAACGTCCAAAGGCGCCATGAGGAGGCGCTGGGGCGTGGAGGCGACAGGTGGTGGAGGTGGGGTGGGAGGGAACGCCAACGGACACGCGCTGGTGTGTTCTAATGTACCAGAGACAGCACGAAATTCAGAAGGGCGGTCCCGCTGTAGAAGAGGATGGTCAGCAGCGTGGTGACGGTGGTGAAGAGCAGGCTCACGTTCCGGCTCATGACGATCCACAGAGACTCAAGGATCTGACCAGGGGGCAAAGCACAACATCAGAACGGCCACCTGGGAAAGAGGTTTCCGCAGCGAGCTAGAGTTGGGTTAAGGGGGCATTTTAGGACCATAGACTGCCAAGGCCAGGGATGGATGAGTAGGACCTCATGGTCATGGAAAGTAGGATTGAGCTATTCCCAGTAGTACTGGGCATCCACTAAGCCCGTGCCCGCTTCATCTTGCTTCAGACCACTGTGGCCCCCACCCACAGGGAACCCTACCTCGATGGGGCCCTACCTCATCAATTACCTCAGGGGGTTTCATTGGGGGAGTGGGAGGGCTTACTCCTGGCTCTGTACTCCTGGCAGTGCTTGGGGGGACTATATGGGATGCCAGGGATCAAACCTGGGTTGGCCGCATGCAGAGCAATCACCTTCCCAGCTATATACTCAATCCAGCCCTTCACCAATGTCTTCAGAATTAAATCATTTAGGAAGAAGATGGGGGCCTATGAAACTGGATTTCAACAGTAAGAAACTCGAAAGCAGAAGGTTTATCCTACACTTATCTTCCCAGTATCTTGCCTCGTTGAGTGTACTATCTATCATACAAACAGCATCTTTGATATATTTTTGGTAAGGCAAATAAGATTTCAAAAAAAAAAAACACACGAAACTTTGAGAAGGAAAAATCAAACCTCTCCATTATGACAATACATATATATAATATAATGCTAAGTTTCAAAACGAGAATAGAGGCTAGGCCCCAGTTCAGTCCCCTGGATCTACATGAACCCTTCCTGAGAACTGCCAGGTGGCCAGCTGAAGACCTGAGGTCACTGAGTGATTCTGGCTATGACCTTGGAGACTCCAGACCAAGCACTGCTGGACTGGGCCTGGTGCTCCCTGCCACCCCAAGGCCTGAACAGCACTAGATCATGAGCCCTGGAACTGAACCACCTGTTGGCCAAAACTACCCGACAGCACACCCTGCTCAGGCCCAGAGTCACAGCACCACTTGTGAGGCCACGCTACAAAAAAAGGAACCAGGCATGGAACCAAGAAGATAGCACAGAGGGTCAGAGCACAGGCTTCATAGCCAGATGCCCAGTTTCCACCCTCATTACTGCACAGTCCTGCGAGCAATCAAGCCAGGAGGACACACAAGCGTCACTGAGTGTGACCCAAGTACCAAAGAGGGGAAAAAAGAAAAAGCAGGAAGAAAATTTTTACAGAGAGCATGATAACTAGGAAAATATGGTTAGCATTATATTTTGAAGGTTTAAAATATATGTGTTAGATATTATTAAAGGCAGGTAGATAGGAGGGAGGGCATCGATGCTGTTTCCATTTCTTATCTCTTCATGAGCTTCAACTGCCTTAAGACAGGGTTCAATCGTATCTTCCCAACAGGAGTAGCCCTCTACTGCATTAAAAAGTGGAAACAAGGGGCTGGAGCGATAGTACATCGGGTAGGGCATTTGCCTTGCACGCAGCTGACCTGGTTTCAATTCCCAGTATCCCATATGATCCCCTGAGCATTGCCAGGAGTAATTCTTGAGTAATTCCAGGAGTAAACCCTGTGCGTCACCGGGTGTGACCCAAAAAGCCAAAAAAAAAAAAAAAATCATGGAAGCAAAATTATCTTGAAAACCTTACCCTATGGCTTTTGAAATGCTCTATTCAACCATGCCATGAGGGAAGCAATAAACTTGTAACCTTCCTCATATGACAGAGAGGGAAACTGAAGCTCAGAGACTTTTCAGAACCTCAAAGCCCAAGAATATGAAACCCAAGGGGTATGGTGCCACCAGAAGGTCAATCCGTACCTGTGAGGCGAGGGCATTATGGTGCCTTCAGACTTCTAGATACCCCAAAATTGCTGCTGTGCCTTTGGCCAGACCCCAACAACTTGGGACCAAGTTTACCAAGAAAGTAAACAGCCAAAAGTTAGGTATGTGGGAGACACACCCACAAACCACCTCCAGTTCAGCTATATAACTGGAGGAAGGGCTTCTCTGGTTCCTGATCAAACTGCTTGATGACCATGACCCCAGGCTCAGGAACAGACCTTGGAACCCAGTGGCTTTTGGCAGAAATGCGTACGGACCTTGCAGTAGGTTACTGGCACTGGGCCATCCCAGGGGGGAAGAGTGCTGTCCCTCCGTCTGCTCCCTGTTGGCGGCTCGGTGGCTACCATTCTCCAGAGGCCATTGGACAGTCATGTTTGGGTCCACAGTGACAAGACACGTGGGGCCTCATAGGATGGGGGTGGAGCCAGCCCTTCCCCCCCGCCCAACAAGACCCCAAGTCATCGCCCATAAACGGCCTCTCTGGCTCCTGATCAAGTGGCTTAACGGCCATGATCCCAGAGACTCAGAAACAAATCTCGGAACCCAGCAGGTGTTGGCAGAAATCCCTCCAGATTTAATTGTTAAAACTTCGGAATTTCAAAATCACGCAGCCACTACTGTGGCCTCACGACATCATATATTTTTCATAACCAGCAATAGAAAACAATTTGTCTAACGTTGCCTTTTCGGCAGATCTAAGTGTTGGGGGAAAATTCCAAATAATAATGGTGGGTCTGGGGTCGAAATATTGAATGTAATCAAAGTACAGAGAGAGGGATGTGGAAATCATCTGCCCCACAGGTAAGGGGAGGGTGTGGGATGAGGGATATACTGGGGTTTTTGGTGGTAGAAAATGGGCACCGGTGAAGGGACGGGTGTTTCATCATTGTATGATTGAGACTTAAACTCGAAAGCTTTGTGGCTGCTCTCAAGGTGATTCAATAAATAAATTTATAAAAAAAAAAATGTAAGGTGGAGTTCATGCCCAATTCAATCAGCTTAATCAATGGCTGAATAATCAGCAATACTCCTACATAAAAAAAAAAAAAGAATTCGAAACCAAATGAGAAGAACTAGAGCTGGGATCAGAAGTCATGTCTGGGGCTAGAGTGATAGCACAGCGGGTAGGACATTTGCCTTGTACACGGCCCAACCTGGGTCCAATTCCCAGCATCCTACGTGGTCCCCTGAGCATGGCCAGGAGTAATTCCTGAGTGCATGAACCAGGAGTAACCCCTGTGCATCGCTGGGTGTGACCCAAAAAGAAAAAAAAAATCCCCCAAAAGAAGGCAAGTCTTTTATTTTGGTGTCCTTTCCAAAATAGTAGTTCTCAATGGACTCTATTGATCTAGTGTCAGATCTAACTCTTACTGATTTAACTCTTATTGTAACTCTTATTGATGTAAAGGCAAATAATTCCATTTGCCTTTGCCTTTGTGTGTAATAAGCTATAAGAAGTAAGTTTGTTTGTGCATGCTGGGTTGGTGGATGAGCAACGGAGGATACTGGTGGAGGGCCAGTCATATTGGTTTTGGAACATTTAATGCCTGAAATAACTGTATTACGAACAACTTGGTAAATCATGGTATTATAGAATCTTTAAAAAAATTTTAAATGGTAGTTCTGTTTCTGCTGTGCATTCTGATTGTGCCATCTGGTCTATGAAAGGTCTGTCCACGCCTTTCCTACCTCAAATGTGTCGTTACAAAGGCTTATTTTGTTGTCTGTGGTATTTCTTGCCGACCTCAGCTCAGCCTTCCTAAGAGAACTTTGACAGGCTAGATTCATTTACAAAAACTTCTTACATAAAAATCTTGAAAATGCTTCACAATGCCTACAAAAACATGCATGATTAATTGCTTGACCTTGTGGGATTAAGAAATGAATGAACAATACCAGTGATTCTAAGAAACAAACCAACAATGCCCGAACTTGTGATTCTAACAGGCATTCTTTGGGGACTTTGGTTGTTTTGGAATTTTTATCAAAAAAAAAAATTTTTTTTTAAAGTTTCTTTGGGTCATACTGAAACGCGTCATGGCCACTGTTAAGAAATTAGCTGCTACATTCACTGTAATCTCTCATTTCATGTGATCTTTCTGTGTCAGCAAGGAAGATAAGAAAGGATGGTTCAAAATATAAAAGCAATTGGATTCTACAAGCAGAAGGGCAAAAGAAAATTTAATCAAGGGTCATTTCTGAAAGATTCTTAAAATTAGTACTTTTATATGATAGGTGACGATATAAAAAGAAATGTAACTTTTTTATATGAATAATACTTGAGAGATTTACAGCAATCAGCAAACCCACACCCACATGAGTGCATATTATAAAAACACAAGCGTAAAAGATGCATTTTGAGAAAAACAGAGACATAGTATAGGGGTTAAGGTGCATCCTGCACATGGTCAACCCTAATTCAACCTCATATAAGTCCCCAAGCATCATCATGTGTGATCCCTGGGCAGAGAGCTGGGAGAAAGCCCTGAGCAGCACTGGGTCTAGCTCAATCACCATAAACTCCAAACGGAAACAAAAAAGAATCCATACTGAGCCAAAACAGACCAATGGACTTCTAATAGAATACAGAAAGTTCACAGATGATTCCAAATTCCACACTACAACTAAACCTGAACATGGTCATCTGCTGAGTTTTGTACAGCATCAAAGAACAGACACAACTGTTTGAGGTCACCAAAAGATTCCTCTCTTCCAAATGTTTATCTAGTGAGACAAGACTTTCCTCAGATACTTTAATCAAAGTTATGCATTCCAACAGATGCAAAACAAAGCGGATAGGCAAATCCAGACACTAAACAGATTTGCAAAAATAGGAGGGAAAGCATTCTTCTGACTACATCATTTTTCGTTGGGACAGGGGCAGGAATGGCTACTTCCCCAGAAGCAGAAAGCACATTATTTATTTATTTATTTGCTTTTTTTAGCTCACACCCAGCTATGTACAGGGGTTACTCCTGGCTCTGCACTCGGGCATTACACTTGGCAGTGCTGGGGAACCATATGGGATGCTAGGAACTGAACCGGGTTGGTCGCGTGCAAGGCAAACGCCCTACCTACTATGCTATTGCTCAAGGCCCAGAAAGCATATTTTTTATGTGAAATGCTCATTTGTAATTTTTTTTTAATTTCTTAGTTTTAAACTTCGAATACCGTAAACATCGACAGATTATAACCCCTATAAAAAAACCACTCTTTGGCGGTCTCAGACAAAAAGTTTAACTGGAATAGAGAAAACAGAGAGATTATGGAAAACATAAAACCAGGCTAGGGAGAGAGCTGGAGGAGCTGGAGCACATGCCAGGCATGCAGAAGCCCAGCTTCAATCCCTGGCACCACACAGTCCCTCAAACACTCCCAGGTGTGGTCCTGGTGACACCCAGGATCCCTCAGGGGGCCCCAGAAGTGCCCAGACCACTACACAGCTGGGTCCCAGCACTGACCCAACAAGCCAGCACAGTTAGGCTCAGTTTGAATCAAAAAAGCCCCCAAATTCCCTCAGCACTGCCCCTAAATATAGTAAAATACTAAAATATAAAATCTAAAAATTCTTGGGGCTGGAGCGATAGCACAGCGGGTAGGGCGTTTGCCTTGCACACAGCCAACATGGCTGACACAGGTTCGATTCCCAGCACCCCATATGGTCCCCTGGGCACCGCCAGGAGCAATTCCTGAGTGCATGAGCCAGGAGTAACCCCTGAGCATCGCCGGGTGTGACCCAAAAAGAAAAAGAAATTTAAAAATCCCCCAGCCAAGAGACCTGAATGTCTGGATCTAATATGAGTTCCCTGTAGGTCTGTTATTTCTACCAAGAAGAAGGGGGAGGTAATCAAAGAAGTAGACAAGAACCATCCCCCACTCCCCCAGGGAAAGTGAAAGCAAGCACTGAGGGACCCATATAAAGTAGTCGCCTCTTCATCTTCCACCACAGGAAGCCAAAAGATAATATCCCAAAGGCGAAAATCCAGAAAGAGCAGTCTAAGTATTATTTCAGAAATAGAAAAGTAATGAAAGCAAAGAGATTTGACAGCTCCTTTTAAGCACTGCTATCTTAAAGATCTTAAAGCACTTTTTTAAAACCTCTTTAAAAACTCATCTATTGTTTTTGCTAAAAACTGAAGTTAAAAACCCTAAGACTCCAGAGGCCAGAGAGAGAATTCAATGGATGGAGCCCATGCTCTACATGTCGGAAGATCCAAGGTTCCATCCCTCGCACCCTGCTGTACTGAGTACTGTCAGGAGGAAATGACCCCTGTGTACAGAGCCAGGAGTAGTCCCCAAGCACAGCCAAGGTGGCCCAGTAACAAAACAGAACCAAACCTACCACTGCAAACCTCACTTCTGTGAACTTGATGAAAAGTCACAAGTCTATAGACAAAGTCTTCCCATCTCTCTGAAGCCACATGCTGAGACACCTCGCACCAGAGCAACAGGATGAAGTGGGGTGATGAGAGCTTATTAAGGCTTGTCAAGGCTTCCAGCTCTTTCCTACTGCCTCCAGAGATGGGGGAATGCCTGGGAGGAGGGGGGTGGTGGGAACCTCACGGTGACAAGTTTATGGGTGAGTGCGTGAACATTTGGTCTCTTTCCTCCACTGGTGCCAAAGGATTTGCCCACCTCACAGGCCGTTAAGTTTCCTCTGGGATGGTGTAGTCGGGGGGGAGGGGGGGCACTTTGGTCCATGGTCCATTCTGACCCAGAAACCCAAATCTGAGAACCACAGTGTGGCTGAGCACCCCGCAGCAACACTCTTCAAGCATGTAAGAGGCACGATGTTCTCACCCACCTGGAATTCTCCCATCTGACAATGCAGTGGTACCAAGAATGGGGGCACCCGGGGCAGACAAATGGCCTACAAGGCTGAGCACATGCTGGTCACGCGGGAGGCCCAGGATCAATCCTCTGCACTGCACAGTGCCAAGTACAGAATCACAAATAGGCCCTGAGCACTGCCAGATGTGGCCCCCAGAAAAAGACAGAAAAGAACGGGGTTACCAAAAGGCTGTGACATGTATAGAGAAATCTTGGGATGAGCTTTACTGTTTGTATTTTTTTTTTTTGGTCCATACCCGGCCACACTCAGGGGCATTCCCAGGTGCTCAGGGAACCAGGCAGAGCTGGGAACTGAACCTGGGCCGCCCGCATGAAAACGCACACACCGGGACGAATCTCCACCCATCGGTGGGTCTGCGTTTCGGAGTCCCGTGGAACCCTGAGTCTCTCACCGAAAGAAACGTCTCGATATTCTCGTGAACGAAGGACGCGACGTCTTGCCAGTCCAGGATGTCCCCGAGCCAGCTGTTCTGCCGGCTGATGTGCAGCTTATGTCCTTTGTGCCTTCCCGAATGGGTCACGTTCTAGGGAATAAAAGAGACAGATCCACTGGTGCCCCGCTGGAAGTACTCCGAGGTGAAAGGCTGGGCTGGGGAGATGGCTCACATGCTTTGCATGCAGGAGACCAGGAGTCCAGGGCTTGATTCCTGGCCCTGCATGGCAGGAGAGTCCTCCAAAACAAACACACAAAAAGTGAAAGACTAAATTATTTAAGACGACAAACTTCTTCTCTCCCTTATTATTGTGCTGCACCCAGCAATGCTCAGGGCTGACTCTACAGCACGACCTAGCCTACACCGAAGAATCCCTTCCTGTTGCTATGCAGCATCTAGCTAAGAATCTGGTGGTGGTGAACAGTGGACTTACAAAGCACATGACGCTCAAGAACAAATATGCCACATCCAAGCATGCTAAGATCAGCACTCTGACACAGCTGAATTGAGCACTAGTTCAAGATCTAGCCAAGGCTGTGGCGAAGGTGTAACCTGTGAACTTGGACACTCCGAGTACTGTATCTGCAAATAAAATTGGCACCGTGTGCTATTTGTACATATATGTTTCATTACTTCTAATCAAGCCTGTCATCCTTTTTACTTAGACCTTAACTCATGGCTATTTCCTAGGGTAATTTAAAAAGCTGTTTGAACAGTATGGAGGCGTTTGGGGGCGTATAAAAGATGGTTTCAATTTGCCTGGGGACTTACACTAACATGTGAATAATTGTTACTTTTGTGCTTGGCTCTTGTTCTGTTAATGCTGGCAGTACCCAGGGAACCTTATGGGGTGCAGGGGCTGGAAGGCAGATGGGCCACGTGTAATGCAAGTGCCCTACCTGTTGTTCTGTAACTCTGGCCCCAGGAGAAAAAAAGTCCCTCTCTACCGAAATCTGTTCAATCCAAGGGCTAGAGGCGAGGGAGAGAGAGACCTGAGGGGCTAGAGCCACTTGCTTCACATACAAAAGCCACAGGTTTGACCCAGGACGCTACATGGAGTGGTCAAGCACTGCGAGGAGTGGCCCCTGAGCACTACTCCAGGAGTAGCCCCCAAGCACTACTGATCCCAAAACAAAACAAAAATAAATCTTTACTGTCCAGAACATTGGCCATTAGCCACATGTGGCTAACTCCAAAAACTGTCATGAGCTGTTAGTGTCAAGTACATGATTCCACAGACCTCATGCCAAAAAAATCACTGTATCACTGTCATCCCATTGTTCATCGATCTGCTCGAGCGGGCACCAGTAACGTCTCCATTCCTCCCAGCCCTGAGATTTTTAGCAGCCTCCTCTTACTCGTCTTTTCCCAACAATTGGAGGCTCTTTCAGGGTCAGGGGAATGAGACCCGCTATTGTTACTGTAACAATGCCAAAACATACACACATGACATGTCTCACTAAAAATTCTTCCTAGGGTCAGCTAGAGAGATAGTATGGTGGGTCGGGCACTTGCCTTGCACGTAGCTGACCCTCGGGGGAGTGGCAGGTTCTGCCGTTGAGGTCAACCACCAACGCAACTTGCCATGCTGTATCCTAAAGTCGCAGAACTTTAAGCTTGCAAAGTTCAATGAATGAAATCCCAATATTAGTAAGAATCTGATGGGGTCAATGAGCTTATAAAAGGAGGAGGACTTTATTGTTTACATCTGAAAGCATCAGCTACGGCGGCTTACCTTTACAAACCATGAATGGTATAGTCTGTCCCAAAGTTCGAGTACTTGCTTTTCGATTACAGCAGTGTTGTTCATCTTATCTCCAAGGATTTTATGAAGCTGGGAGAAACAGACACAACCTGGTTTAATCTTTTAGACAACTACCCAGTACAGTTAAAAGATGCTGGACTTTTCCATGTGTTCCAAATCAATCTAAAATGGTCCAGGCTGTTTAAATGATCTCCTGTCACACTGTTTTCTCTGGAACTCTCTACTCCTCAATAGTCTGAGTGAATTTCCTTCTTTTCTCTTTTCTTTTTCTCTGGTTGAGGGGAGGGTGTTCTGAAGTAGTACTTGGGGGGGGGGGGGGGCTGGAGAATACCTCCAGAGATCCTCATTTAGCCAGCTGGGCCACAGTTCAGCAATGTTGGTCACCAGAGTCACATCCTGCAGTGCCCAGGGAAGGGGAAGGACGAGATGTGAGGCTGAGGACTGTGCTCAGGTCTCACACATGCAAGGAACACACCTGAGCCCTTGGAGATACCCCCAGCCTGCCTTCATCTTGGTGTTTCGTTTGTTTTTCCTCCTGTCTCTATTCCTGGGTCTCAGACACTCCTTTAAGTGATATGGCAATGGTACAAATGAAGCCCTAATTACAAATAGATCTAACCATATCTGTCCAGAGAAAACCTTTCCCAGGTGACTGCAGGTAAGCGTTACATGGGTCATATTATGATTACAGGGATCATGCCATATTGATCACTCTGTAAAAATTATCACAGAACTATAAGTGAAAATTCAGAGTCTTGCCTATGAACACAAGTATTCCCCTGAGCTTGCTAAAAGCTGTGACCAGACAGGCTTCAGGGCTGCCGAGACTCGAGTACACCCAGAGCAGGCCACCTTATGCTATGTGCCCTTCCTGTGAGAGTCGGATGGCAACATGAAAGAAAATCCCACAGCGAATCGGGGCCCCACGCCCTTCACACAAGTGCTCCCATTCCCACCCACCCCTATCTTCTCTGCAACTCCCTGCTTACACCGATAGCTTATAATTATTAAACTTTCTTTTGCCTCCTAAGCATTCCACCTTTAGCCTTCACCTTCATGGCTAGCAGCTTTGTATGAATTCATGAAGCTTTGGGGAAGTGGAGAGGGCCATGGGCACAGGAGCCCAGCTGCAGAGCTGTCTGGGGCCCCAAGAGTTCAGGGGCCCCCAGCGTGAAACTGGGGATGTTCTGGGGGGTTATATGATGCTGGGGATCAGAGTGGGGACCTTGTGCATGCAAGGTCTGTGCCCCAGGGCTCTGAAGCTATCGCCTTAGCCCACGTCCCTTAGTACTTTAATTAAAATCCTATCGGAAAAGGCAACTGGGATAGAGAAGGGACCACTACATGAACGATGCTTGGAGGGCTGGCTCAGGATGGGAGATGCGTGCAGAAAGTAGACTACAGGACAAACATGATGGCCACTTACTACCTGTATTGCAAACCAGAACACCCAAAAGGAGCACTGTCTGTAGCACTGTCCCCCGTTGTTCATTGATTTGCTCGAGCGGGCCCACTAACATCTCCATTGTGAGACTTGTTGCTACTGTGTTTGGCATATCGAATATGCCACGGGGAGCTTACCAGGCTCTACTGTGCGGGCGGGATACTCTTGGTAGCCTGCCAGGCTCTCCGAGAGGGAAGGAGGAATCGGACCCAGATCAGCCGCATGCAAGGCAAATGCCCTACCTGCTGTGCTATCGCTCCAGCCCACCCAAAAGGAGATAGAGAGTAAATGGGAACGCGTCGGCCACAGAGTCGGGGGGTGGGGGATGGGGGGGTGTCGGAAGGGATACTGAGAACATTGCTGGCAGAGAATGGGCTCTGGCGGAGGAATGGCTACTCAGTCATTGTATGAAACATAATCACAAAAGTTAGTAAGTCTGTAACTGTATCTCACAGTGATTCATTTAAAAAAATTAAAAATGAAATTAAAAAAAATCATATCGCTTTACCATGGGTTTAGGGTAGACTATCCCATGCCAGGGTTGGAGAATCACGTCCAGGTATGCGGGTGCACCCAACCGCACCCAGCCCCACGAGCTCACATCAGACTGAGCCACACTAACGAGACCCCCTTCCCTTCCTCTCATACCTTTTACGTCTTTCCTAGAGTCTGAGCAATATAGTCATGTGTGATGTATGAGTTAATTTGCTTTGTTTATTTATATTTGCACCCCAGAGAAAATAACTGTTACCTTTACCTTTCCACCTCATTTCACTTAGTTTAATCATCTCAAGTTCCTTTCATGTTACCATTAGATGCGCGTTTCATCTTTTTTAACAGAGGAGTAAAAGACTACTGATTTTATTTATTTACACCACAAAGTCATTATCCAGCCATCCATGAACGGGATTTAGATTGTAGCGCATCAAGTTTTGGTATTACATAATCATTACCCACTCAGAGGCTACACGGGTTCTAAGTTTGAACTTTTACAAATAACACGGCAATGAATCTCCTTATATTCATTTTTCTTTTTTTTATCGCTAACAGTAAAACAATATGTACAGGAAGCAAAAGAAATGGGCATCTTTAAGCTCCTCTCTTCATTGCTAAACTCTCCTGTACAAGAATTATGCAAATTAGTACTTTATAAACACTGTATAAATGAACCAATTTTCACAAACCTTATGAACTGATGTTTAATTTTAAATGTAAAAACTGAATCATACTTTGCTTTTTTAGTGATAAGTGAGAGCCTTTTTCCAGGTGGGCTTACACTGTGAAGTTCCTTTGTATAGCTCACACATACCTTTATACCTTTTACCCACTAGACACTCGCCTTAGGCATGCCTGAACCAACTTTTTCTTGGGTGCGGGAGAGGGTTTGGACCTGGCTCTGTGTTTAGAAATCACTTCCAGCGGTATTCAGAGAACCATACACAGTGCTGAGATTGAGCTAAGATCCAGTCATGAAAAACACCTCAGTCTCCGCACCAATTTTTAAAACATATAGATATATACATATATGATTCATTCCCTGCACAGCTGATTCATTCATACACCAAACCAAAATGAATAAACAGAAGGAAAGTTATTATTTTTACCTAACATTTTCTTCTTTCTAAGTTGTAAACGGCTTTCACCGGCATTATGTGACCTCTACCCTAACACCAAAGATGTGTTTCCCACTTGACATCTTGAGCGGGGGCCAGAATGACAGCACAGCGGGTAGGGCAACTGCCTTGCATACGGCTGACTCCGGTTTGATCCCTGTCATTAGCCATGGTCCCCAGAGCCCACAAGGAATGAAGCCTAAAGTGCAGAGCCAGGAGTTAGCCCGAAACACTGCTGGGTGTGACCCCCAAAACAAAACAAACCGAAATCTTGATCATAAGTTTCCCCTAACTTGAAATTTTCTTCTGTAACAGACAAGGCAGGCCGGGAAACAGAGCGAGGAGGAGGAGGGGGCATGCATGGTGTGAGGTGTGCTTCTGGCACCCATCACCCCTGTCAAGCAGCACCGCCCTGCCAGGCCTCAGGTCAAACCGTCAGCACCCCCGGTTCCCATCGTGGAAGTGGCCCTCACACTCCTGAATACCAACTGGGGAGAACAACAAAAACAAAGCAATTTAAAGTTCCTTTCTTCAGCGACCCAAATTCCCATCCTTTACCCTTTTCCTGCCTAAGTTATAAAATGCAAAATAAAAGCATCTCCCCAGAGAGAGAAACCAAGAATCGTGGGGCCAGAGAGGGGCACATGTGTAAGCACTGCCAGGGAAGGAGTGAATCCCAGCAAGGACCCCAGAAGGCGTGTCCCCAACCCTCATCGCTGAAACACCCTCATCACAAAAACATCATCTTCAACAGAGAGTGGAGGGATGGGGGAGAGGGAGAGGGAGAGAGAGAGGGAGAGAGAAAGGGAAAATGCAAGAAGGGAGAGGGAGAGAGGCAGAGAGTGAGGTAAAGGGAAGAAAAGGGCGAGGGTGAGAAGGAGAGAGGGAGAGAAGTAGAGAGGGAGAGAGAAAGCCAGGGAAAGGGAGACGGAGAGGGAAAGGGAGGGAGGCAGAGAGAGACAGAGACAGAGACAGAGACAGAGAGACAGAGAGAGAGAGAGGCCCAGGGCTGGGTGGGTGAGCTCTGCAAGCACAGGGCAGGGCACAAGCACCACGGGATCAGAACATGAGGGGGAAACACGACTGAAGATTGCAGGACTCCCATACTAGGAATGATCCCTGACAGCAGAGCCCCAAGTAAGCCCTGGGCACTGCCAAGTGTAGCCCCAAAACAAAACAGAACAAAACCAAACAAAAAGTGTGCAACCCCCAGCAAGTAGGACAACCAAGAAGCACATCTCAACACATATTCATGGCAGATGCCAGATGTTTTTTCTTTTCTAATGCAAAAAAAGTGGTGTGCAGAGGGATGGGGAGGGGGGCCTGAGAGACAGTACAGGGGTAAGGTGAACCAACCCAGGTTTAATCCCCAGCACTCCATATAGTCCCACCAGGAGTAATCCCTGAGCAGAGCCAGGTGGAAGCCCTGAGCACTGCTGGACGTGGCCCAGAAAAAATTAAAAAATATACTCTTTGGGGTATGGTGCCACCAGCAGGTCAACCTGTACCTGCGGGGCGAGTCCATCAGCAGCCTGATGATGCCTTCAGGCTTCCTGATACCCCAAAATTGCTGCTGTGCCTTTGGCTGGACCCTACAACTTGGGGACAAGTTTACCAAGAAATTCAATGGCCAAAAGTTAGGTATGTGGGAGTGACACCCACAAACCACCTCCAGCTCAGCTCTATAAGCTCATATTGGCCTTATTTCAGAGACTCATATATAAATCTCGAAAGAGATCAAAAGTCTGCAATTAATCTCAAACCCACACAGAGCTGAACAGACCGGGGTAAATCAGAGCAGGGAGGGTTGGCCCAGGGCTCGCCCAAGCAGAGCTTCTGGCAGTCACTTGCTTCCACAGTCCAAAATCACAGCCATACCACCAGTCTGACTCCATCGTCTCAGGACAGACCTCAGCAAGACATAATCTGCTGAAAATTCGGGCCTGCAGATTTTGTTACTGAAATCTCCAGGCTTCAACTCCCTGTACTTCAGAAGCCTAGGTAATTACATCCACACCCCAAAGCTGCCACCCAATTGAAAAGCTACTCCAGCCTTACCGTCCCAGTAAAAATACCGAATACCCTGAACAAACACCATGATCTCTTAGCACCTGTATTGCAAACCATAACGCACAAAAGAAAAAGGAGAGAGAGCGAGTCTCCTATAAAGGGAGACTGGGGGTGAGGGGGAAACATGGGGACATTGGTGATAGGAGACATACACTGGTGGGGGGATGGTGCTGGATCATTGTATGACTGAAACCCAATTATGAACAGCTCTGTAATGGTCTAACTCACAGATATTCAATCAATTAAAAAATTGTGGCGAGAAAGAGACACTCCTCACTGTTGGTGGGAATGTCGACTGGTTCAGCCCTTCTGGAAAACAGTATGGATGATGCTCAAAAAATTAGAAATTGAGCTCCCATTTGACCCAGCAATACCACTCCTGGGAATATATCCCAGAGAGGCAAAAATGTATAGTCGAAGTGACATCTGCACTTGTTTGTTCATTGCAGCACTCTTTACAATAGCCAGAAACTGGAAGAAACCTGAATGCCCAAGAACAGATGACTGGTTAAAGAAACTTTGGTACATCTACACAATGGAGTACTATGTAGCTCTTAGAAAAGATGAAGTCATGAAATTTACATACAAGTGGTATAACATGGAAAGTATCATGCTAAGTGAAATGAGTCAGAAAGAGAGGGACAGACATAGAAAGATTGCATTTATCTGGGGGATATAAAGTAACAAAATATAAGATTAATACCCAAGAATAGCTGAGATCAGCACCAGGAGGATTACTCCATAGCTTAGCGGCCAGCCGGGCATTCTAGAGGAAAGGACAGCTCAGAAAGAGAAGGGAGCACCAAATAAAGGGTGTTTGGAGGATCCTCCCAGGAGGGGAGATGCATGTCGAAAGTGGACTATGGACTGAACATGTTTGCCACTCAATGCCTCTTTTGCAGACCACAACACCCAAAAGGAGAGAGAGAACACAGGGGATTGCCCTGCCACGGAGGCAGGGGGGGACGGGGGGATGGGGGTGGGGGGGGACATTATCCATGGTGGTGGAAAATGGGCACTGGTGGAGGGATGGGTATCTGATCATTGTATAATCGAAACCCAAGCACAAAAAATTGTAAATCTACAACTGTACCTCATGGTGTTTCACTAATAAAAACAAAATTTAAAAAAAAATTTTTTTTGAAAAAGGTAATGTGGAGTTTATGCCCAATTCAGTCATCTTAATCAATGGCTGAATAAATAGCAGTACTCCTACATTAAATTAAAAAAAAACACTCTTGATGATCTAAGATCTATCATTCCTGCAAGATTTATCTCAACCGTGGCATTAAAGCACTTAGCCCCATTCCGGGTACAGACTTCTAGTATGCTAGAGCAGAAGAGCAAAGAAGCCAAACTGGTCTTGAATCTGAAACTACATTCTGCAATTATCACATTACGTGACACCAGAAATATACTAAGCCTGCTGAGTTGGTCTCAGGCTGCGAGAGGTTTTTTTAAGTTCAGATAAAATAAATTGGAAACTGCCAAGCATGGTTACAAATGGACAGTAGCACTTAATCTGCACAAATTGTTTTCTCTTCCTAACGCTTTTATTTGACTGCCCTACTTCACTGGTTAATCTGTCCTAACACACAAATCATCAGATCTATCCTAAAGAAGAAGCAAATGACCAATACTCAAACTGCTCAGGCTACTAGTACTATTCAATACGATTATCCAGGAGTTTTCATTACCTTGTGGGTTATCCATTCTCGTCCATACTGATAAACATTATTAGCCGCGGAATTGAGAGCTCTTTGGACTACTTGGGCTTCAGGAAGCCAACTAATTTGAAATAGAGAGAGAGAAAATTAAAACAAGTACACTTTTAGAGCAATGCACCAATGACTCTTCAACTTGATCTATTTTAACCATGCAGCAACTGCCAGCTGTCTGAGCCGTCAGCACACATGCCAACCAACCAAGTGCAGGATACCTGGAGTTTCCAGTCAGCCCATCAAATTCTCACATTATGGACTTCCCTTCAAGCCTCACAGCAGTTTTCTCTCTCTCTCTCTCTCTCTCTCTCTCTCTCTCTCTCTCTCTCTCTGTCTCTCTCTCTCTCTATCTGTGTGTGTGTGTGTGTGTGTGTGTGTGTGTGTGTGTGCGTGTCACACATAAGTAGTTCTGGGACACTGGATAGTCAGCACCTGGGACAGTGGTTTCCAAAGTATGTTCTTGACTTCAATTTCATTTCTTTAAAAACTGTCTGTGAATTGCTAAATACTTTGAAATTTACACAAAAACTACTTTTCTAGAATGATCTACAAGACTCCAATATCCTATAGCATCAATATAATAATACAGTGCAATTATCATTCAAAATGAAGTACCAGAAGGACTCTGGCTTGATTCTCCTTATGAAAGAGTGACTATCAAAGAAAAAGAACCCCTTCTCACTAAGGTTGCAAACAACTAATATCTACCCCAAGTTTCTCTCTTGAACTGCACATCCAGCCAATGCCTGCTGGTGACCTCTGCTTGCACTCACTTATGGGAATCTCAATCTCACACATACAAAAATTATTTTCCACATCAAATCTGCTTCTCTACTTCCCAAACTGATGAAGCAGACATCACCCACTAATTTCCAAAGCTAGCAACATATGAATTATGTTTCTCTGCCTTTGTAATTTTTCTTGGTTAAAACTTACAGTCACTTGAATATTTTTGTTTTTTTATAGCTATGTGAAATATGATCTATTTGAAAGCAAAATTTACACATAAAAATCTTTTTAATGAGGCTGAAGAGTTTGTACAGGGCTTAAGGTGCTTGCCTTGCTTAAGGCTGCCCCCAGTTTGATCCCCGAAGTACCACCAGGAGTGATCCCTAAGCACAGAGCCAAGAGTAAGCCCTGCGCACTGCCAGGTGTGTCCGCCCTCAATTAAAAGAAAAAGAAGAGAGGCTCTAGAACAAGGATTAGCTAAATCTATTTTCTGCAAGTGTCCAGGAAATAAATACTTTAAAGTTGGGAGATGACATATAATCTCCCTTCACAACTACACTTCTATCTGGCCATGCATTTCCAAAACAGACAAATAGACAATATGTAAAACAACGGATGTTGGTATGTTGAAATAAAATTTGATTTACAAACGCTGGCAACTTATCTGATACTGAGCTGTTTGCTGACACAGCTTCCAAAATGACATGATATGACATGGGTAAATAAAATTTTAAAAGGGGCCAGAGAGAGAGTACAGTAGGTAGGATGTTTGCCTTACACGCAGCCAATCCTGGTGTGAAACTGCATATGGTCCCCAGAGCACCACCAGAAGTAACAACTGAGCACAGAGTCAAGAGTAAGCCCTGAGCACCGCCAAGTGTGGCCCAAAATCCAAGATGCAAAATGACACAATATGGTACTATGTCAAGAATTTTATAGAAACTTGAGGCAGGATGTATTACGGTCCTTTCATTAGTCAGGAACAATGTACGTGAATGCAGACTTGGCCACGGGGAAATCATCTCAACTTCCTTAAACTTCAGTAAAGTTTCCTCATCTATGAACTAGGGATAATTTCCTACCTGAATCATTGTGGAAAATATACAGGAACACGGTATTGATAAAAGTGTTTTTATAAACTATAAACCTGTAGTAAACTATAAACCTTACCTTCAGGATTTGATTGTGGAGGGTTTTGTGTTGTTGTTTTGGTTGTTTTTGTGTCTGGCTTGGGTGTTTTTTCTGGGTGGGGGGGGAGGTGAGGTGGTTGGTAATGAGGTGGGTTTTAGAGCTACTCTCAGGGGTGCTCAGGGCTTATTTCTGACTCTGCTCACAGGGATCAATCCTGGCAGTGCTAGGGGAACTGCCTGCGGTGCCGAGGGACCAAACCCAGACTGACTGTATACAGGTCAGAGTCTTCCCCGGGGTTCTATCTCTCCAGCCCCTTGACATGTTTCAGTTTCAAGGGCAGCAGAGTTGGCGCTGCTCCAAGGTCACCAAGCTGATGTTACTGTAGCTACACAGAGCTGAAGGTCAAATCCAGGACTGAGTGCCTGTGAGGCATCTGTAAGCATCGTGGGCTGCATTCTCACCCTTGTACCACACCTACTCCAACAGATGGCCCCGCTTATCATAACCCTTCCCCTCCTAGCTTCGACACCTCCCTCTCCTTCATGACGCTCTCTCTCCTGGATTACACACCACTCTCATATAAAAATGACATTAGTTTTGTCTCTGTTTTTGCAAGTCCTACCATTCAAATCACTTCACACAAATAGATCCTGAATCTACATCAGCCACCTTGATTTTTGTCAGAACAATAGACTTACTTTGCCCACTCAGGGTGATTTGCTAGAGTTTCATTAATCAAACTGCTGGTGACTTCTATCATATGCACACTCTCTTGATGAACCTGTAGAGAAAAGGAAAAAAATACAGCCCACTTGAACATCTGCTATTCCTATGCTATTATTGGAACACTGCTATTAACAGTCAAATGATCACATAACTTAGTCTCAACTAATTTAGAAATTTGCACTATGTCCTTTGATATATACCCTTATGGGAAATAAAGGACAATATACATTCTTAGCTTCCTACCATCTTCAGAAACTCAACAATTTACTTTAAAAAAAAAGGGAAAAAAGAGTAACTTGGAAACAGATATGCACACAGCTGATCCAAGTTCAATCTGCAGCACTATAGTCTCCCAATCCCTGCCAGGAAGGATCCCTGAGTGCAGATTCAGGAGGAAGCCCTGAACACACCCTCAAAAAAGTTGCAAAGAAATATTTATAAATACATATTCCACAATATAAATTTTCACCATGAATTAAATATATATATGTACATACATACACACACACACACATACACACACACACACAAACCAAGAACTTATATATAACACATATACAGGACAAATAAAAACTCAAAAAGGTTTCTAAGTTTTAAAAAAAGTCAACTGTGGGGTTGGGGCCACAGTACATAGCAGGCAGGGCACCTGTCTTGCACATGGCTGACCTGTCTTGCACAGGTTTGATTACAAATACCCCAGAGGGTCCCCTAAGTTCCCCAAGGAGTGATCCTTAAGCGCAGGGTCAGGAATAAGCCCTGAGCATTGCAGGTTACAGCCCCCAAACAAACAGAAACATCAACTGTAACTTTATCTCAGAACCTACCTAATCACCAATAAAGGATCAAAAGGAACGAGCCAATGCCATGGGCCATGCTCCATGGGACTCTGCATGAGCATGTGGTTTGCCCTGGGGAGTGCTCCTCGATTACCTGAAAAGAATATAATTCTGCTGCTACCAATTAAGTCTCATTGACTGTGTTTTTCAGGGGCTTTAAATCCTTCCTAGTTTTCTATCTTCTTAACTCTCCCTACTCGGGGGGCTGAGCATCCTCCACCCAGATCCTCCAAATTCCAGTAGGCGGGGGTCACACCCACCAACTGGCGCCCTGGCGCCATGTAATCCCATCAGTGGCCAAGACTCACTTAATCACTTAATCACTTAACTTCCCGTTAGTCGTCGATTTGCTCGAGCGGGCGCCAGTAATGTCTCCATTTGCCCCTGTCGCGTGCTAGTGTAGTCCAATGGCCTCTGTTCGCTCCGGGAACATGAAGAGCCTCAAAACGATCGTTCATGATCTTGACAAAGAAGTCTGACCATCTGGTAGGTGGGCGGCCACGCGGTCTTTTGACATCCTGTGGAATCCAGTCGGTAACAGCTCTAGTCCAGCGGTCGTCTTTAAATCTCATTACGTGACCAGCCCATCTGATTTTCGACACCTTGGCAAATGAGACAGCGTCCCTGATTCCTGATCGTTGACAGATGTCAGAACTCTGGATTTTTTCTCTCATTTGAGTGAAACGTGATATTCCAAGCATTGCTCTTTCTATTCTTCTTTGGGAGACCTGAATGGCGTTCTCATCCTGTTTGCGTAGGGCCCAGGTCTCTGAGGCATATGTTAATGCAGGAAGAACAGTGGAATCAAAGAGATGTGCCCGGAGCCGGAGGTTCTTCGTCCTCTTAGCTATTGCTTCGACGTTCTTGAAGGCGTTCCAAGCCGCTCTCTTCCTCCTGCGCAGCTCGGGTGCCAGGTCATTTGTCATGTTGACCTCTCGACCTAGGTACACATAGCTGTTGCATTCGGAGATGGTCGTTCTATTGAGAGCGAATGGGGCGTCAGGAACAAGGCTGTTTCTCATAAACATTGTCTTCGTAAGATTCAGCTGTAGTCCTACCTTTCCACACTCACGGTCAAAGTCGGCCAGCATTTGTGCCGCTTGGCTGATGTTTGGTGTTATTAAAACAATGTCATCAGCAAAGCGGAGGTGGTGTAGTTGCTGACCATCTATATTCACTCCCATTCCTTCCCATTCCAGTCGTCGCATGATGTTCTCGAGGGTGGCACTGAAGAGTTTCGGTGAAATGGTATCACCCTGCCGCACCCCTCTCTTGACATCAACGATCACTTCTTTGTAGAATGGTGAGATCCTGGTAGTGAATCCGCAATACAGCTCACGGAGGATCCTGATGTATTGGGCTTGAATGCCCTGATTGGCTAGGGCTTCAATGACCGCTTCCGTCTCAACGGCCTGTTGAGATGGCCAAGACTCAGAGACTATAAAAACCAGATCCCGGAACCGCGCGGCCGCGAATGCGAATGTCATCTTATCAGGACATCCTATTATGACATCTTATTATCTCACTCCTACTTTGGACAAACTGGACAAAATGTCATCTTATCAGGACATCTTATTAAGACATCTTATTATCTCATTCCTACTCTGGACAAACTGGCAGGCTACCGAATGTAACCTGCCCACACGGCAGAGTCTGGCAAACTCCCCGTGGCGTCCCCAATATGCCAAATACCAGTAACAATGATGGGTCTCATTCTCCTAAAGAGCCTTGAATATAATCTCAGGGCTAGGATGAAGGAGACGTTACTGGGGCCTGCTCGAGGCAATCGACGATTAACAGGATGATTTGTGATTTGTGATTTGTGAACTCTCCCAGTAACTAAAAGTTTTATTCTACTCCTAACTAATAATTGGTTTGCCCATTTCTTCCTTTGAATTCTAAATATTTCATGATTTTAAAGCTCCTGTCAGGAACATACACATTATAACACGCATATTAACAGTTATAACACTTACTGAAATTTTAACTCTTTTATCATCGGAATGTATTTTGCTCTAGTAAGTTGATTCATCAAACTGTTATAATGTCATTATAACATTATTCTGTTACCAATATCACTCTTCCCCATCTCTCTTCTGGACAGGTTTCCTGCTACATCTCTTTTTTTTAATTCTCTGCGAATCTTTGTTTTCGGTAAGCTCAGAGCCAGGAGTGAGATACCCAGTGTCACTCAGGTGGGAGGCCTAACAGTTCAGTGCTCTAGGACAGTGAGAGCTAATCTAAACCCTGCAGTGCCCAAGCAGTCACATGGTACCAGGGATGGAACTAGGGCGAGAAACATATTCTGCCACATAATCTATCCCGTAGACCTTTACTGCTAATCTTTTCAGAGAGCTCGGATTTTAAGAATGTATCTTAGCAATACTATCCAGTTGAAACTTGCTTTTAAAAAAATCTTTTAATACTTGTATTTACTTTGTAAAATCGTTTTTAAAATACTTTTAAGATATGAAAATCTCTGCATTTGATTATTCAACAGCTTCATAGCTCATATAACTACTGGCATGATAATGTTTAGGGCTGTCATTCTGCTGTTTTATGTGATTTGCTATCTGTCTCACTGCTAGCGTTCCTCTTTGTCTTGTATTAAATTATCTGTTGGCAAACCATTTTGATTTCCCTAAAATCTGTAGCCCTCACTATGTCTCTCGCTCTCTTTTTTCTTTTTTTTTCTTTTTGGGTCACATTCAGTGATGCACAGGGGTTACTCCTGGCTTTGCACTCAGAAATTACTCCTGGCGGTGCTCAGGGGACCATACGGGATGCTAGGAATTGAACCTGGGTCAGCTGCGTGCAAGGCAAACATCCTACCCACTGTGCTATCACTCCAGCCCCTCGCTAAGTTTCTTAAGCGAGGACATCTTTAGTTTCTCACTACTGGTTTTGAGTGAATGATGAACTTACAGCAAAATATCCACAGGAAATAGTTCGAGGAGAAGGAGAGCATGTCACGCACGCACAAGGCCTGCGCAAAGTCCTGTGACCCCTGCACTGCCAGGCACAAAGCACTCTGTTGCCCCTGAACTGAAAAATCACTAGGAGCAGCTCCCAAAGGATAGGGAGGAACTTCTTTAGTGGGCAGAGATTCCTTTAATGTTCCTTTCGGTGGAGGACTGCTATTTGCAGGTTCTCTCAACTTTAAACTTTTTTCCTTTTTGCCTTACACTTGTTTTGTTTTTGCTCGAGCGGGCCCAGTAACGTCTCCATTGGAGACTTTGTTGTTACTATGTCTGGCGTATCGAATACTCTAGGTAGCTTGCCGGGCTCTCCGAGAGGGGCGGAGGAATCGAACTCGGGTCGGCCATGTTGGCCGCGTGTAAGGCGAACGCCCTATAGCACAGCGGTAAGGCGTTCGCCTTACACGCGGCCAACATGGCCAACCCAAGTTCGATTCCTCCGCCCCTCTCGGAGAGCCCGGCAAGCTACCGAGAGTATCTCGCCCGCATGGCAGAGCCTGGCAAGCTCCCCATGACGTATTCGATATGCCAGACACAGTAACAACAAAGTCTCCAATGGAGACGTTACTGGGCCCGCTCGAGTAAATCAACGATCAACGGGAGGGCCTTTACCTTTACCTTTACCTTTGTTTTGTTTTAGGGCTATGCCCAGCAACACTCAGGGCTGAGTCCCAGCTCCATGCACAGTGGTCATTCACTGCGGTGCTCAGGGCAGGCATTGAACCTGGGCTGCCAGCACACAAAGTTTGCACTCAGCCCATGGAATTATCTATCTGGTTCTTATTTTGCCCTTCTGTTTCTGGTTTTTGGCCACATCCCATGGGGGCTGGAAAGATAGTACAGCAGATAAAATGTGTGCCCTGCACGTGACTAATCCCAGGTTGATCCCTGGCAGAACACCTGAGACCTAGACCCAAGTGGGGGGAAGACAATTATTATGTGGGTAAGGCACTTGCTTTGCCTTCACCCAACCCAGTTAGTTCCCCAACACCCATATAGTCCTGCCAGGAGAGATCCCTGAGCATGGAACCCGGTGCACCTATGGGTGTGGCCCAAAAACCAACACCCAAAAAAATTCTCTTTGGCATTTAGCAGTGTGACTATAATGTACTGATTTCACGTCTGAGTATATTTATTCTACTAAAGGTTTACAGAACTACTTGGACCTGTTAATGTTTTTCATCAAGCATGGAAAATTTTCTGTTCTTATTTTCTCAAGTATTTGTGTAATGGAGGAGGAGATACTACCTCCTACCCAGCCGCCGCCACGCTCCAGGCCGCTTTCTGGATGCTCAGGCCGAAACTCACGCACGACTGAAGCCCCACAGAACCAAGTAAGCGGATCTCTGCAACCTTGGACTCCAGGTTCAACGGGACAAGGAACAGAGATCCTCTGCCGGCTCCCACCAATCTCCGGCAACCCAGGGATTAAACCCAGAAGACCCACCCTACCCTGCCCTGCCTGCTTCCACCAATCTCTGGTGACCCAGGAATCACACCCAGAAGTCCCACCCTACTGGTACCAGATAAATACCTCATCGGCAGACCTCCACTACCTCCACTACCCAGGCGCCGCCATGCTCCAAGCCGCTTTCCGGACACATCATAAGACACTTACTACCCATCTTCCAAGATTACCGCATCATATTTGATGGGGTTCAAATACGGTTTGAACCATGGGAACATCTGCAAGGGCAATTAGAAGCCGCCCTAAAACCTCTATCCCTCTCAGAGAGCCTGGCAAGCTACTGAGAGTATCCCAACCGCCCACACAGCAGAGCCTGGCAAGCTATCCGTGGCGTATTTGATATGCCAAAACCAGTAAATACAATGGGTCTCATTCCCCTGACCCAGAGAGAGCCACCAATATGGCAGCATTAAGAAAGATGAGTTAGGAGAGGCTGATAAAATCTCAAGGCCGAACTAGGCTGCCAAAACGAGAAGGACAAAAATGACTGTGTGTACTTTCAGTGCATGTACACTGGCATCGGATGCATCCATTGAGGACCTGATGGTGCAAGCGCGAAAGGTCAAGTATGACATCATTGGTCTGACCGAGATGAGACGGTATCAATCACATCATGCCGTTTTCAACACTGGAGAAGAACTGTTCCTCAGAACATGCGACAAAAGAGGCGTAGGTGGTGTCAGTGTCCTTGTCAACACGAACTTGGCCATGAGCATTGATTCATTCGAATGCCTAACAACCCGAATTGGAAAATTACACTTGAATAGATGTGGCTCACTGCCAGCAGTTTCTATCTTCATTATCTACGCCCCAACATCCAATTATGATGAAGAAATTGAGAAGTTCTACATGGAGCTGGAGAAGTTCTAAAACAAGATCATTGTTGGTGATTTTAATGCCAAGATAGGACCGAGAAGATCAGCCAAAGTACTCCACATCGGGACTCATGGCCTAGAATGGAATGAACAGGAAGAAAGACTATCTGAGTTCATCATGTCGACCAAGACCATCCATGGTAACTCACAGTTCCAGAAGGCCAAATCTAAACGTTGGGCTTGGGAGTCTCCCGGTGGATGGTTCCAAGCAAAATTGACCACATCGTATTCAATAGACGGTCTCGCCTGATCAATGTCGCTGTTGTCCCAAAATTCCAAACAAGATTGGACCACAGTCTCCTTCGTACAAAATTCTACTTCACGGAGCAGGGAGAAAGGGCTCCAAAGTTTAAGAAGAGAACTCCCAGAACGACCACCAACTGGGAGCTCTTTGGCACTATTGCGGCAACATGAGAAGATGCCATCGTTGACAACATTGACGAGGAATACAATAGGCTGCGAACAATGGAAATGTCGTTCCCAACATTCTCCCTTCTGAAATTCAACACGCCATTTCATTGATAAAGTAGCGAACAGCACCTCGTCCAGACCCGAACACCTGAATAACCTGCTGTCAAGTACTCATTAATACACTGGATCGGTTCTTCACACACTACCTGTCTGAATGCAAGGTACCGTCCCAGTGGAAAACAGCAGGAATGTTCTCCTGTTTAAGAAGGGAGACATCCACGACATGGGTAACTATTGCCCGCTCTGCCTATTGTCTGTCATCTACAAACTGTTCACTTGAGTCATCCTGAATAGGATTGGCAGAACACTAGATGAAGGATAACCATGAGAGCAAGCCGGGTTCCGAAAAGGATTCAGCACCATCAACCATATCTACACGATAACCAAGCTCATTGAGGTTTCTCGGGAGTTCAAGACGCTTCAGTCAAGTGAGAGAAAGAATCCAGAGTTCTGACCTCCGTCGATTATCAAGAATCAGGGATGCTATCTCGTTTGCCAAGGGGTCGAAAATCAGACGGGCTGGACACGTAATGAGATTTGGAGATGATCGCTGGACTAGAGCCATTACCGGCTGGATTTCATGGGACGTCGAAAGATCGCGTGGCCTCCCACCTACAAGATGGTCAGACTTCTTTGTCAACCTAAACGATTGGTTTGAGGCTCTTCGTATTCCTGGAGCGAGCCGATGCCATTGGGCTACACTAGCACACGACAGGGCCGAATCAAGTCGTTACTGGAGCCCGCTTGAGCAAATCGATGAGTAACGGGATGTCAAGTGATCAAGTGATTTGTGTACTTTTAAGGGAGGGACATCCAGAGGTACTTGGGACTTCTTCCTGACCCAGTGCACAAGGATCATTCCTGAAAGTGCTCAGGGGACCATATGGAGTGCTAGGAATTGGACCATTGCCTTGGGCATGCCTTAAGCCCTCTACTTTCTCTCCAGCCCCATCCCCCAACCTTTTCCCCATGTTTTTCTCTTCTCAAGGATGCCTATTCCATATCTACTGGTATGTCTGATACAGTCCCACAGATCTCTGAAGTTGTGCTCATTTAATATTTAAAAAGTTGTTCTGTTGTTCAGATTCAGGGCAATTAGTAGAATAAAAATCATAAATACTTTGGGCCAGAAATACAGAAGAGTGGATAGAGTGCTTGCCTTACACAAGGATGACCCAGGTTCAATCCCTGGGAACAAAGAGAGTCCCCCAAGCACTGCCAGGAATGATCCCTGAGCAGAGAGCCAGAATAAGCCATGAGCACAGTTGAGTGTAGGAAAAAATAAAAGAAAAAAAAACTAACATAAATACTATAACGGTAACACATTTATAAGCAAAGTAACATTTCCCAAGCCTAGTTTCTTACTCATACTACAATTCTAGCAAGTGTATAATGGTAATGAAACTCTTGTACTTTACCTTTGCAGTCAGGAGAAGGCCTAAAAGGAGGGTTCCTATCACTAACAAAAATATGATGAAAATGCTAATTATTTTGTCTAACATCTTCTCCAACCAGATGATCATCTGCACAGAAATGAAAATAATTATTTATCTTTCAGTTCCAATTGAATATAAACCACATAGGCACTCAAATATCATTAAGACCAAACAGGTTATGCAGCATTGCAAATCAAGCTATGGCTTAATGATTAAAGTAGTGAAAGCCGTAAGCAACTTTAGAAAATGCACTAACAGTATTAATCATTAATCACTGTTACAGAAAGAGTTTATTATTGTCAAATTTAAGAAAAGGCAATCAACGTGAACAAAACCAACAGAATTCTACTGTGGTGCCATTTGGTATTAAAAAAAAACAACTTAAAATCTGGTATACAATGTAAACAAAATAATAACAAAGTAAGATGATCACAAATCTCACCATTTTACTGTCAGTTAGCAAATATTCAGAAAGTGTGTCTCTTATAATATATATATAAAATATATATATATATATCGTAGTTTAAAGAATTACATTAGAAATATCTTCTGCTCGATGTTATTAGGGTTACAAAATAGTGATGACAAAAATCTAGTGTAAATGATAAATAACAGTTTCAGAACCAGAGCCACCCTGAGGGCCAAAGGGTCAAGGGCAGGCACAGTCAGGGAGGGAGACAGATCTGGCTTCAGTTACATAATATTTTATCAAGCAGACAAATAGGCATGTGGTTGTTTCTTTTAAAATATTAAATATGGATATGAATGATAAAATATATTAATAAAAATACTTATAAAAATCCTATATCTGACTTGAAATTTCTATTTTTTAAACCTAATTATGACAAGCCATAATTAAAGTCACAAATAACCATTAATTTTGTAGTTATTCCTTAAACTATCATTAAATTTATACTCTTCATAAATGCAACTGGACATTCTGAATATAACTCCTCTCTTCCTTTATAACCATGATTAATACATTTCAAATGTTTATGTTTATTTTATTTTCAGGAATATGACACTTCTAACAGATTTCTAATTCTGGCCATTCAAATACTCTCTAACAGTTCAAAGCCGTAACCAGTGAGACTGAGAGCTATTCAAACTCGATTGCACCTCTCAACCCCAACACAAGCCATAATGTTTCTGAATAATATTAATTTAAACCTGGATTATGCTCTCCAAATAATAAACATCTAAGGACAAAGAATGGTGGCTTTCAAAAAGTGACTTCTAAAACATTTATTTTCCACATAATGATTTTAAGCTTATACTGCCCTCCACCCCGTATCTCCGTGATTAAGAGAGCAATATGATTAAGAGAGCAATACTATAGGAAACAAAAAAATTCCATCTTTTATCTTGACAATTATAGTTTTAAACAGAGGAGTTAATGTTCAGTGCATGCTACAAAGCATTGAAGACAATACAGGCTTTTAAATAAAAGGCTTCTAAGATATGGAAGGTCATATTTCATATTTTGAATGAATTCTAAAAAATCAACAAAAGTGGAAAGCTTGTCAACCAACTCTAGCTAGTTCTTGAGACAGTTTTTGAGAAAAGAAATAATGTTTATCTTTGTATCTCCAAAGCTGATCGGTGTGACCATATGGCAAGTGTTCAGTAAAAAACGTATATGTATGAATATGAATAATTATAATTTCAAAATTGAGACCAGATTTATATTCATAAATGAAAATTGCTAAAAATAATTTGGAATATCTCTTTTTATAAGAAAACATACTGTTCTGAGACATTTTTATATGTAAGCAAAGTATGAATATCTAAATTTATGCCTGGATATTCTGAGCCTTTAAAACATAGAATATTGCCAGGGAGGTGGTACAGCAGCAAAGCACATGGCTTGTATGCATGAGACTAAGGTTCTGTCCCTAGCACCCCAAAAGAACAAAATCAGAAACTCAAATCCAAGGACTATTTCACAAACACATAAAGGAACATCAACATCACAAGCCAAACTGACTTTTAAAAAGCCAAAGTAGAATTTTTCTCTAACAAGCCATATACCGTATGAGTTGGGGGGAAGGAAAAATAAAACCCTACAAAAACACTAAATAGAACTTTCGTATTCAGAGGGTTAACAAGTGAGATGACATGATTCATTCGGTACTTAAAATAAACTCACTTAAGATGCTCATTATATAAGCTAAGAGGGTGATGCTGGAGTGTTTCTGCTTGTATCACGGCCAGCTTAGGTTCCAAAAATCAGTGACAAGAGAGACAGCAAGAGAGTGAGAAGCGCGGTCAAGAGAGGGAGGGAGAGACCTGAAAATCTGGGGACGGGAAGGGGCTGGCACATGGAACCATAGAGAGGGAAAAACAACGCAGACAAAAAAAAACTCAGAATGACACACATACACACAGAAACACGGACAGAGGCAGCCGTGGAAAAGGGGTGCAGGACTGCCAGAGGCCAGAGGTCCTAAAGCGATGCTGAGGTCAGCCTTGGAGAGGAGCAAGTGCCCAGCTCTGCTTTGGACAAAGACAGGCCAAACATGCCGCCAGCGCTGCACTGGTCACGGGAACTACCCTCATTCTCTCGCCTGTCTGCCAAGCTGTGCCAAGGCATCTGATTCTTTTTAAACTTCATCTCCTCGCGGAGGTCTACTGCAGGGACATCTAACGCCTGCCTGGCATATGCATCGTCAGGAGTTCAAATCCCAGGTGTCTAGCGGGTGCTGAGCGCAGACCCAGCAACTCGGCAGCTGGAGCCCGGCAGACAGACCCCCAGTGAGCATCTTACTAAAAAGATGCGTGCCAGCACCGGCCAGGAAATGTGACCTCTGGCGAGCAGCGTGGCCATTCCCAGAAGCACCACCGCAGTGACTGGTGACAAGGGAAAGCATGGGGTGCGGCAAAATATGAATGCCTAGATTTATATATTTTGGGGGGGGGGGTCACATCCGGCAATGCACAGGGGTTACTCCTGGTTTTACATTCAGGAGTTACTCCTGGCGGTGCTTAGGGGACCATATGGGATGCTGGAATCGAATCCGGGTCGCCCGCCGTGTGCAAGGCAAATGCCCTACCCGCTGTGCTATCTCTCCAGCCCCTAAATTTATATTTAGATATGCAACTAAAGGCGTGCCAGCCTCAGTGAGCACTATGGGGACACTGGAAGCTGATGTGTGATGGGCAGCCCGGGAGCACACGGCCCGCACGTGTGAAACCTCCAGGCACTGCTGTAAGGCAAGGAGAGGTGGGAGGTCGGGGAGGGAATGGCGGGAGGAAGGCGTTTAAGTACCTATTGTAGCACTGTAGCACTGTCCTCCCATGTTCATCGAATTTGCTCATCATGCGGGCGAGATACTCTCGGTAGCTTGTCGGGCTCTCCGAGAGGGACAGAGAAATCGAACCTGAGTCAACCGGGTCAGCCGAGTACAAGGCAAATGACCTACCCACTGTGCTACCGCTCCATGCAATCCTGTGAGTGTTTATCAGATAAAAGACACAGATGCATTCTTTAATTTTCTGGAATGCTAGCTTTTTTTGGGGGGGGGGGGGGGTTGTCATACCCAGCAATGCACAGCGGTTACTCCAGGCTCATGAACTCAGGAATTACTCCTGGTGGTGCTCAGGGGACCATATGGGATGCTGGGAATTGAACCTGGGTTGGCCGCGTGCAAGGCAAACGCCCTACCCGCTGTGCTATCACTCCAGCTCCAGGAATGCTATCTTTTTTAAAGAGAGACAAAAAATAAAATTACTAATTCGTAAGAGTATCATGCAAATCTTTCAAATTTATCCTGTACAAAAATCCCCCCAAGAAAGAAAGGTAATAAAGTGTTCTCTTTCCCTTTCAGTAAGCTATTGTGTAACTATGTGCTCTCACGCATCCAAAAAGTCCAGATTATCAGGCTGAGCCATAATGCGAACTGAAAAGCGATAGAAATAATTTACAGTGGACAAAAGGACCACACATACAGAAACAAAAAAACTGGACAAGGAGATACCACCTACATCCCACGGAGCCTTGAGCTTTCAACGAACTGTCAATCGTACTGTGATGGTAATGCTTCACGACCTTCCATAGCTTATAATCGGAATTTTAGAAAACAAAATTTAATTCGACATATGAGGAGAAACACAGAGAAAGAAGGCAGATATAAAAGCAGAAGTTACAGAACTCAGTCGTAAAAACCAACATCCATGTGTTCATTTACCTTCTTATTTAGCCAGTGCCAAAGCTTGAGGACAGGGGGTAAGGTAAGAAAGAGAAGATAAGAACAGGGGGATATCATTAGAGAATGTCATCACAGTACGAAAAGAAAAAGAACAGAAAGTCACCAAAAGCACAAAGAGGAAATCGCCCCAGAAGAAAAACTAAAGAGGAAATTATCTCCACGGGAAAAAAATCACAATGCATTTAACAGTTTTTAAAGGTCCTGAATGAGGTCTTCCTTTCAATCAAATATCCAATGATTGAAATGGTGGCGATGACAAACTTTATTGACAATTCAACAATAAAAGTAGATAAAATATGCGTCTGGGAGTAGAGCGGCACCCAATCCAAAGATCAGAGTTATATTATTAGAATTTCTTCATCTACCATGCACTAAAAGAATGTATTCATATTCATATACCAGCTTCTCTGAATTTTACAGTGATAGTTTTATAGTATTTGTTTCTCAATATTTTTTAAAAGTATATTTCAGTGCTCATTTGAAATACTGAATACTTGGCCAAAAGATTGGCACCTTAAGATTGTTACTATTTGGTACAATTCCTTCCATTCCATGTTTTAAGTATTTTTTTTAAATTGTATATAATAGCCTGGGCTGGAGCGATAGCACAGCGGTAGGGCATTCGCCTTACAAGCGGCCAACATGGCCGACCCGAGTTCGATTCCTCCGCCCCTCTCGGAGAGCCCGACAAGCTACCAAGAGTATCTCGCCCGCATGGCAGAGCCTGGCAAGCTCCCCACAAACTAACTTAGTATACTAAATTTTTAGTATACTAGAAAGTAATCCTAGTTGATACACACATAACCTAAAAGTTGGAAAATCCAGATTTAAGACATTCTTGTTATAAAAAATAGAAAGGCTAAAAGGCATAATTTCATCAGGAAGATTATAAATGTCCTCTGTGACATTTATCCTCAAGTATATCCAATGCACAATTATATACAATTAAATCTCTTATAGGTGGAAGAATCAATTTCAGAAGCACTGAATTAAAAATTTAATAGAAACATGAAAAATAAATTTCTTCCCCAAGGAAGCAAACAAAATTTTTTCTTCCCCAAGACGAATACAGTTTTGGCACCAATTACAGTAAAACGTATATTCACTTTGTGATAATGATTCTGACCTATAGCGATTATAATAGAGTAGCACTTAGCACTTCCTCCTGTTGTTCATGGATTTGCTCAAGCGGGCACCAGTAAGTCTCCATTGTGAGACTTGCTGTTACTGGTTTTGGCATATCAAATACGTCAGGGCAGCTTGCCCTGGCTCTGCCGTATACTAAAGTACAGATGTTTTATTCATTTTACCCAAACTGTCCAATTTGCAAGTGTCTTTTTCTATTAACAAGTATCTATTGATGCCCCTTGAACTTCACTGATAAAAATACAGTTTTCCTAAGTGAACAGTACCAAACACATGATGTACGTGGAAACACAAAAAATCGGATTTAGTTTCTATCATTTCTAACAGTGGTAGAACAAAGACATGAACTAAACTGAGAGTCACCCTCTTTCAGTTTTAATTACTTTTGGTTTTGGTCACTGGCTGTGCTCAGTGTTTCCTCCTGGCTCTGTTCTCTGGGGTCACTCTTGGTAGTGCTGGGGGACCTTACATGGTGCTGGGGATTGAACCCGGGCTGGCCACATGCAGGGCAAGCTCCTGATCCACTGTAATGTACCTCTCTGGTCCAAATCACCTTTAAACAGAGGTACTAAATCTACTTTAGTAAAATTAATAAAAGAGTAAAGCTTAATTTTATTTTTAAAAAATTTAGGGGCCCAAGAGATGATCCAATGAGCACATGCTTTGCCTAGGGAGACCAGGGTTCAATTCCCAGCACCACATGGTTTTAGGAGTGTGACCCAAAAACAAAACTAAAATAAAATTTTTTATTTATTAAAAAATTTAAAAATAAGACACTGAGATATTAATCTTCTTGTAATTTTTTGAAAAACCTTCCACATATTTTTAAGTAATCCAGTATTGCCAAGAACCGTGGTTAGACTGGGCATTCTCATGTGACGTATTGGAAAGACTTAAAACTAGCAAACATTTTGGAAGCCAAGTCAGGCAGTCTGTAAGACAATTTATCCCCCTCATTTCCTTTGACTGGGGCTTTTATTACAAGTTTAAAAATTATTCACCCCTATCTCTTCATAGGAACTCAAGTTGTTATCCTCAGTCCTGTCTACAACTGGTCTCAGGTACCCAGTATTTCCCTACCATCCACCAAGGACGACCTGTCCAAGGCAACGGCTATGGCTTCTGTGACAGGGCACAGCTGGCACAGCATTGCAGAATGTTCAAGGTCCTTCAGCCTGACTCAAACTCCCAGGACCTTCCAGCCTCACCTCCTACTCCTAAGCACTTTAGACATTCCAGTCAGGACCATTTTCTTGGGTTCCCTGTGTACTGATCTTGAAGGGAAAGTCTCTCTGCCTTCACATTGCTCTCTGGTCAACTGCTCTTCCTGCCATATGCATTCAAAAAAAAAAAAAAAAACACCCACTGACTCTTTCAAATACACCCTGGCATCACCTGTTCTGCAAAACCGCCCCTTCTTCCATGGTCTCACCAACCAGGGGGAGTAATTACTTCCTCAGCTCCATCACCACATCCTGTACATTATCTGCCTACACAAATTGCAATAACAGCTGAAATTTAGAGCTTACGGGGCACCAGGCTGTGATTCTAGGAACTGTACACAGATTAGCCCATTAAACCCTCAGAACCATTCCCGTCCTAGCGACAAGGAAACCACGGCACAGGAAGATTACAAAGTACAGTACGAAATCCAAAGATTTCAAAGTCACAGAGCCAGTAAGTGATGCCAGATCTGAAGTCAGAGCTTGCGATTCAGAGTCCAGGCTCTGTGTCCTTAGCTCTGAACTTACGAACTAGCAGTTTATAATTCTGAGTCACTCAGCCTCCGCATCGAACCACCACCCTGATTTTAATGGAGTCCTGTCGTTCTCCATTGAACAGTGGTTCTACACCTGGTTTTTCATGAAACATCTGATTTTGAGACTTCCACTTTTAAAAATTATCCACTGAACTAACCTGCTCCCTCGCCAAATAATCTCAGGTAAGACACTTTAACCCCTTCAGATTCCAATTCAGTCCTTAAAAAATGAGGAAGTTGAATGGGTTATTTCACAAGAACAATTTCTCCCGTGAAAACTGGTCAAACAATACTTCAACGAAGTCCATTCTCTCTCATTACTAAACTGTAATTCAAAACTTATCGACTGTGGCAACATAAGCACACTTAGATCATGAAATGGGAGCACCTGAGCCCATGAGATAAACTCCATTAAAACAGTCCAAGTTCTTCAAAAAGTGCCGTACCTTGCTATCGACTTTCAACAAGAACTTCCCAAGTCCAACGATTGGCCATGGTGCCAGGGCTTCCTGTCGCTCCTTCAGGAAGTGCTCGATGCTCTGCCACCACACGTAGCAGCGTTTCTCCAGGAAATTCACAACGCCAAAGTGAATGACAAGCTTCTTGAGTACCCACACTACATGGAAGATAAAAGACACACGCATGAACAAGACGTACGCTAGGAAAGTACAGAAGGAGAAGCTTCCTTAATCCCACGGGATCTTTCTCAAATAGTAAAGCCGGCTTTGAAACAAATCAATTCGGTTTCTAATTGAGGAAGGGGAAGGAAACTTATGATAGTGCACACTGATATACTGGGATAAGTGACCGTGCGCGTGTGCACGCACACACGCGCGCGCGCACGCACACACACACACATACACACACACACCCATTAACCACTTGATATACTGTGATAGATAGATGACCACAACAAGTCAGGGTTTATCTTATCACCCTGACAGGCATAAGAAACTCTGTTCAGTGATCTGGGCTCCTCATACCCTCCCCGCTTCCAAAGAAAAAATCACTAACCCGATATGCCTCTGTCTAGTTGCATATAATAAATTACAGCTCTCGACGAGTTTTGTTCTTTTCCTTGGACATTTGATGCAAAAGGATCAGAGACGTGAAAGGTACTCCACACTGATCATGATTTTATACCATCACAGGGGAAACGTTTCTTTGTGTCTCTATTTCTCTATCTAATGGTACTTGGTCCACCTGCGTCTATGCCCAGGACTCAGCAGAGTGGGCTCAGATGAGGCCACTACAAATGCGCTGAGACGGCACCGTTCGCATCAGGGGTGAGAGCGCTTCCCGCCAGCCCACAGACAGGGTAGTGGGGCAGCCCCGGGAGCAGGAGTTTTGCTTCCCCTGAAGGTCAGCTAAGAGCATGATGGCGCCAGAAGGAAGTAGGACTGATCAGTGAGTGGAGGCTTGAGTATGGATCCTGGAGAACAGGTTCCAATCATTATAAATGCCCTAACTGCAGGGGCTTGTGTCCTTGGCTCCTGCCTTGTCATCTACCCATTTACCACCTTCACAGTCTCTTAAGCAGTGCTCAGGGAGCCTGGGGTCACACCAGGCACCACTCAACCGGCTTTCTGGGCGTGGACCTGGATGTATCGGGGGCCATCCAGGTCTTTTACAGAGGTGCTGAGGGCCACCAGGACTATACCCAGAGGTGCTGGGGATCCAACCCGGGGGCCTTCAAATGCGAGGCGTGAGTCCCAGTCCTTCCGGCTGTCTCCCACACAGCCACAGTTTACCCTTTGAATCATGACTGTTATTTTATCAGTTCGGCAATTCCTCGTTCACATTTTTAAATCTCTAGAAAGGTCCTGGGAAAGTTTCTGTAGTCTCTAAAATAAGCTTCACTGCAGGTTGAAAGGATCTCTTGGAGGTCACCCTCTTCTGAGTCAGCTTGCCCAAGGCCGTGCCAAAGTCCTGTGATTACCAGCAGGTTACAAAATGACTAGGACAGGGGCCAGGAATACAGGTCAAGTGGCAGAGCGTACGCCCCCCCTCCCCAACCCCTGGGACCATGGGGAGCAGCCTAAGAACAACGGCCCCCAAAAGTTTGATTTTTAAATGAGATGACTATGACATATGTAACTGCAATTTAGCAACATTAAGGAGGAAAAAGGGGTTCCCAGAGCACTTGATAACCTGATTTGCCAGCATAAAAGAAATCATTTGGCAAAACCAAAATAGTATGGGGTAATCCAGAAAAGCAATGTAAATACTGTTTGATCAAGTGTTTCTAGAAATTCCTTAGCAAGAAGCAGAAACAACTATTCCTTATTCTTGCTAATGTTAGAAAACAGCTTTAGAAAAGAATGAACAGGGGCTGCAGGGATAGTCCAGTGGGTAAAGCATTTGCCTTACACACAACCAATGCGGGTTTGATCCCCAGCATCCCATATGGTCCCCGGAGCACTTCCACGAATGATTCCTGAGTGCAGAGCCAAGAGTAACCCCTGAGCATCACTGAGTATGACCCAAAAAGCCAAAAAGAGGAAAAAAAAAAAAAGAGAGAAAATGAACAGAGGTAGGTCATATGTTACCATGCTATTAATGTGTGAAGACACCATTTAACTGATCTATGGAAGGCTGTATTGTACATTCCATTCTGATACGTAACACATACATACATATATACACACATGCATATACACATACAATATATGCAATTAAATTTTATGTCAAAGAAAAATAAAGATGCTGTGCCTATTTATCTCTCAAAATCTGTTTCTTTAAGATGCACTAAAAGCAGTTCCCAAATACTAACAGCAAACCCTAAAGCCCAGATTTTTAACAGAATCCTGGATGGCTAAACAGAGACGTCTCCCAGGGCAACAACTGGTCCCTGATACCCTACAAAAATTTAAGAGACACATCTTCTCACACTGTAAGATATGAAATTCCACTACATTAGTGTGTACCATTTAAAAGAGTGTTTACCACTAAAAATGTGACTATTTATTTCACAAACCAGTGAGGTCATTTGCAATACTGAGAATCGATCTGGGAGGAACAGCGACCTGCGACAGGCACGGGCAGCAGCTGCACAATCCAAAGGTTCAGCCAGATCTGGACACCGATGATGGCCCACACGAGGAACACGAAGTAGACGTCACTCGTTTTCTTCTTCCTGAGAAACGTCCCCATCTCAGGCCTCTGTCTGCCCAGGGTGGGTGACGGGGTCGAGGGTGACGGAGACGAGGACTCTGCTGGAAGAGGTTCTCCCCCGTCACTGGCTTCTACGGAGGGAAAGGAAAAAGAAACCAGAGGCCGCGTGAGCCTACCTTGGCCACCAGCAACGCGGAGCAGTTCGCTGGCCCACCCGATTTGAAGCGTGGACCACGCAGCACGAAGATGTTCACTGGGTTAGAAAGAGACTCGACTGACTGCAAATGGACTGAAGGGTGCAGAGAACTGTAATGCTGAAAATGTTTAAATCAAGGAAAATTGAAGTCTTTGGGGAGCAGAATTGGATATGGATATATATTTTAACTTTTTTTTTTTTTTTTTTTTTGCTTTTTGGGTCACACCCGGCGATGCTCAGGGGTTACTCCTGGCTCTGCACTCAGGAATCACTCCTGGCGGTGCTCGGGGGACCATATGGGATGTTGGGAATGGAACCCGGGTCGGCCACGTGCAAGGCAAACACACTTACCCACTGTGCTATTGCTCCAGGCCCTATATTTTATCTTTTTTACAGACTCGATTCTACTATAGATGTCACTATAGTAGAATTTAAACACCAACTCAAGAAAAATGCATAACAAGAGAGCTGAGGACCATACTAATGGTCACTAGAATTCCTGTATTTTAAAAAATCTCCACTTTCACTGTAACATTACGTTTGATGTGCTTATGTTTTTGAGACAATATGGCTCTTCTGTGTGGTTTCACCCGGAAATGGAGGCAGCTGCTCTCACAAGAACTGAGGGATTTGAATCAGACCTTCTTGGAGTGAGATACAGGATACTGGGGACAAAGAATTTGCAAATAAAGGAAACTACACTAGTTTACATAAAGCTCTGTGTCCTAACAATCCAATTACTGTGCTACATTTCCTGTATGAATATGTTATTTCTACATCCCAAATTCACTATCAGGCACCATCTATAGCAGAAGCAATATAACTTTGAGTAGTATCACTTAAATATACACTATGACCATAAAAATGAGTTCAACTCTAAAACTTGTACTTTGCCTTACATAAAAAAAAATTATTAACAACGCAGGTATACTATTTCAGAAAGAAACAGGAACAGTCATAATCACACACACACACACACACACACACACACACACACACCCATGCCGCCAAATCATTCCTTGTTCTTACCCCGTCCCTTCTCCCTTCAGCTGATCATCAGCCCCGGGAGGGCTAAACTGGGTGCCCAAAAGCACACAGACTAGCACCTGATACAGAGCAGATGCCCACAAAACATTTGTTGAAATAATGACTTTCTATTTTCTAATCTCATAAGCAACGAAGGCAGTAGCCCTCGAAGTGCTACATCATCACTTCCCCAGTGTTATGCCAAATATGAAATGTAGTGCGATGGCAAATTTTCAATTTTGATTCAGCAAGCTCCGTGTGTGGCATGGGGAGCCCACCACCCCAAAACTACCACCCACCCTGCGCTTTGGGATGAAGGCCCAAGTTTATTACACTGTGCTTCTGCCTGATTTTTCTCCAGAAGCATCTAACCTGGAAACTTCCTGTGGGGTGGGGTGGAGGTGGGGATTGATACTTAAGAGTCCAAAATGCAAACACCATTTTCTTACCAATTTTCTAAAAGCATACAAAAAAAAAAAATTAAGTTTTCCAACCACCCCAAAATGCCTTTTTCTTAGGTAACCCTTTCTTCGGGGCTTTTGTAAAGCCAGTTCAGGAAGAGCATTTCCAATATGGTCCTAAACTCTGACAGCCATTCCATCAAGGGTGCCCAGCAGAAGGCTTTCACATCCCTCAGCTACATATCATGTGATTCCAAAGCTGGTATAAACCACCTGCCAGATCTCATAAGAACACTAAATCCAGAATAACCAGTGAGGGTGTCTTAGGGGACATGGTTAATCTATGAACCGCATGAGGCATGGAAAGCAAACTTTGAGAAAAGCAAGAAACATCAGAGAAACGGGCCACTGAAAGACAGAAAATAAAAACCAGAAAGCAAGACCTGAAGAAAGGAAACCAAAAATAAATAAATACGAAAAGACCAATATAATGACTTAGATCAATGGAGAATTAACAATTAGAAATTAAAATTATGAAACAATTATGAAAAAAAGAAAAAAATAAAAATAAAGAAAAATATGGAAAAAAGGCAAGCAAAGCACAAGAGAAAAAGGAAAACAATATAAAAATGAGGGGAAAAACACTTTAAGTTTATGATGAAAAAATCAAGAAACAAATGAATAAATTAGGTGTAAAACTTAATGTACGAGTTATATAAAAATGTATTTAAAAATGGTAAGAAAACAGATGAGAGGGAAAGCATGAATTATAGGAATCAATGAAAAACAAAGGACTGGTCTGCAGTAGTTTGTGATGGTAGCATTTTTAGCTTAGTGCTTCTGAAGGCTTCCCTTCGCATTGTCACTCACCTGCAGGCTGAGAGCCGGCCTGGTCTTCACTGCTTGACTCGTAGCCTGTGATCGAGATGGCCAAGTTTGCTAGAGTAGAAGCTGCCATGGAGATCACTTGCCCTGGTAACTCTGCCCCTGTAAAACAAAGCAGGCATTTTCAGCACTTTTCAAAGCAAATTCGTGATTCGTATGGAATCACGAATGCAGACGGAAACAAAACACAGCAGGAGATCATAAACGCCAAAAGAAACATGATCCTACATCTTCAACTGTAATTAAACAGTTCATTTTAACTGACCCGCCAAATGAGTATTTCACTGCCAGCAGAGATGGCTTAAAAATAAACAGGACGTGGAGCCTGAGTGATAGTACAGCAGGTATCGTGCTTGCCTTGCACGTGGTCAACAAGAGTTCCATCCGTGTTGCCCCATATGGGGGCAAGCCCACCAGCAGTGATCCCTGAGTGCAGAGCCAGGAGTAAGTCCTGAGCACTGCTGGGTGTGACACAAAAACAAAACACGCCAAGTTAATTTTAATTTTCATGTTCAAAATTTTGCCATTCTAAGAACATCAACTCCCTGAAGGCGGACAGACTTCCTCTTCTTTACATTACTGACCTTTTATTTTATAGGACAGCTCGTAGGTCTATCAATAATATTACATGAACGAATTATGCAAGTGTAAGAGCAATACACACAACAACATGGATCTATAAGAACCCAACACAGGCAATATCAACTACTTGAAAACTTAAAAGAGCACCATTCCTTTGTTTCCTATTGTATACTTCCTGTTAAAGTCCTAATCCATAGCTAAGCTTAATCATTTGCGTTGGGTTCAGAACACTGTATGGGTCCATAAGTCTCTCTGTAACGGACGGCCATTAACCTGCTGCAGTCTACAAAACAAACTGGCCCACACAATACAAATTCTAACATGCCATGAGCAAGGTAAGAGTTCTACCCACTGTACTATCTCTCCAACCAACCAGTTGTAATAGCTGTGTTCTTTTTACTGAAATTTTATTAAGATAACCATGACTTCCCATGCAGCTGCAGGAAATAATGCGAGAGAGGTGGCCTTCTTTGGTTCTCCCTCAATGGCACTATATTGAAAAACAATCAGGGTATCAGCACAGATTATAAGACATCAAAATTTCACCCACTGCAAAGTTCTCTCCTATTGCCACTTTACAGACACAATTAGCATCCAACCCCAGAATAAGTGCTCGGATTGAAGATATGAGAAGAACACCCTTGCTGTTTGATGAAGAACAAACAGCGGGAACCAAGAGGAGAAAAACAAGAGGTACCAAGTCATTACACTACTACATGCCGATGGCTTGATCTGCAAACACTGAAAGGAGATACTGGTAAAAGGGCACATTTAAAACATAGAGAATGGAAAAGGCAAAATGGAGGTCATATGGTGATGAACTAATACAAACACTGTCAACAAACACTGTCCTCCCGTTGTTCATCGATTTGCTCGAGCGGGCCCAGTAACGTCCATTGTGAGACTTCTTGTGACTGTGTTTGGCATATTGAATACAATCGGTAGCTTGCCAGGCTCTCCAAGAGGGGCGGAGGAATCGAACCTGCCTCAGCCAGGCTGGCTGCGCACAGGGCAAACGCCCTACCGCTGTGCTATAAGGGAAATAAAACCAATGGAAGAGTTGACAGTGACCCCCAAGTCTCCTGATTACGGTTAGATAATGTGCAGAAGAAATGGAGATTTTAAATGATTTAAAAGCTCTTTATAGACTTCCAAACTGATTGTCTCATAAGCCAGACAGGATGCAGTTCTTGAGTACCCAAGAGAAATTTCTTAGGCTCCACTCCAGAACAAAGGTTGGGAACATCTAAGGACTAAAGTCTTGGAACAACAAAAAATAAATAAGTAAAAACAATGCTTCGAGCCAAAATTGAAAAAGAGCGGAGTGCACGCTCACATAAAATTAAAGACTAGCCCAGATTCCTGACAACGCACCTCTGAAGAAGTTTATGGTTACTCATCCTTGGGAGACTACATAATCTCTTTGTAATCTCTTGATGGTGTGCGAGTAGCTCGAGAATAACCAGATTATTTTATTCCTGCCACACCAGCCCTCAAACCAGATTATTTTACAGCTCTTTCAACATGCCTTCTCGGTCAAATATCATCTTGATTTATATTTCTAAACTCCCATCCAAGCATTTATTCACCAAACAATAAGTGAATCGTGTGCTGAGACCCCCAGAGTAACAGCCCAGTCTACAGCCCAGGTTGATGTGTGAGTCCATATGTGAAGCACTCAGTACTTGGGGAGGACAGAGGATGGAAGCCTGACCCAGGGTTGGAGGTCACAAGAGGGTTTCCTAAGGCGCATCTAGTAAGAATGGTCAAAGATGTCATCCTTTAAATCCACCAAAACATGTTATCCAGAGAAAAAGAAAAGAACACGTCTACCACAGGAAGGGAGTGTGAGAAGTTGGTCTATACAAGGGCAAAGAGAGAGGAGTTTTCCAGAAAGACAAAAAACCAGATATTAAAATACAAAGGCAATGGCTGGAACAGTGGGTAGGGTGTTTGCCTTCTATGCAGCCAACCCGGGTTCAATTCCCAGCATCCCATACGGTTCCCTGAGCACCGCCAGGAGTAATTCCTGAGTGCAAAGCCAGGAGTAACCCCTGTGCATCACTGGGTATGACCCAAAAAGCCAAAAAAAGAAAATAAAATACAAAGGCAAGAAAAAAGCAGAGTGCAGTTGGTTCGTTTTGTTTCAAATTTGGGACCATACCCAGTTATGTGCAGGGCTTACTCCTGACTCTGTGCTCAGAAATAACTCCTGGTAGTGCTCAGAGGACCATACAAAGTGCCAGGGAGGGACCCTGAGTTGGCCAAGTGCAAGGCGAGTGTCTTACTGCTGTGTCTCTCTGGCCCCCGGGGTGTGCTGTTTAAAATCTCTAAGTACTCTACCGAGGTCAAAACACAGGGTAGAAGAAGAGTAAAGAGAAGAGCAACGCCACGGAACAGAAGGTCACACAAGCACACCTTAAAGAAAACTGGAGATTCAGTTCCCGACCATCACACAAGCTAATGATATGAGTCACAGACTTTCTACTTTTCCAGTACACATAAAAGCTATGCTCATATTATACTAACCTGTTAAATGTATGATGCCAGTATGTCTTTTTTTTTCCCTTGGGCTGGAGCGATAACACAGCAGGTAGGGCTTTTGCCTTACATGTGGCCAACCTGGGTTCGATACTTCTGTCCCTCTCAGAGAACCCGGCAAGTTACCGAGAGTATCCCACCCGCATGGCAGAGCCTGGCAAGCTCCCCATGGCGTATTCGATATGCCAAAAACAGTAACAACAAGTCTCACAATTTGTTGTGAGACATTACTGGTGCCCGCTCGAGCAAATCAACAAACAACGGGAGGACAGTGCTACAGTGCTGTGCTTTTTTTTTTTCTTTTCCAAAATGCACAGGGCCAGGAGATAGCACAGGAGTTAAGGCTCTTGCCTTGCACGTGGCCAACCTTGGTCCTGTGAGCGAGAAGTGATCCCTAACCACCACCAGGCGTGGCCCAAAGTGCAAAAAATAAAGTGAAAAGGGCAGCAAGCAAACCTTACGTGACTACGGCTTAGAGACTAGAAACTCCTGGGGTCGGGGGAGAAGTCAGCAAGCATCAGGCCCGGTGTTCCATCCTGCTGACAGCAACACTTGGAGCTCTGTCATGTAAGCCCGGAACGCCTGCTGACTGAGATCCCAGCCCGCGACTGACCTCCGGCCACATTAGTTAGGCACGCAAATATCGGAACTAAAGTTGGCGCCCACTGGGAGTAACGAGGCCAGGAAATGCCCGGGCGAGCACCTGTGAGCCACACAGTGGCCCCTGGTGGCCACTACAGCATGTGTGCGTGCCTCAGGGAGCACGGCGGCCGGGTGTGTGAACACATCAGACCCGCCATGACTCCCGCCGGGTCCTACAACAACCAACAGCCAAGAATGTGTGCCACCCCTATGCACAGCCACAACAACAGCACTCGTAGGAATAGAGAAGAATAAAAAGATAAACGACTTTCCGCAAAAATCATAAAAGCGGACTCCGACTTACTGGGGTCACTAAAACATCAATGAACAATCGACTTCGGCCAAATCAATGAAAAGTGTGCAGTGTCATCCCAGTTCAATACGCGAATGGTTCAGCCAATTTTCGGAGGGCCTGAAATTTGACTTAGGAATGAAAGGAGTAACACACCGGGGTGAGGGGGGAGAGGCCTTGAAAACTATGGCAACAAGAATCTCAGCAAAGGTATTTCAGTTTAGTGGCCAGTCGGGCATTCTAGAGGAAAGGGCAGCTCAGATAGAGAAGGGAGCACCAAATAAAGGGTGTTTGGAGGATCCTCCCAGGAGGGGAGATGCGTGTCGAAAGTAGACTATGAACTGAACATGTTTGCCACTCAATGCCTCTTTTGCAGACCACAACACCCAAAAGGAGAGAGAGAACACAGGGGATTGCCCTGCCACAGAGACAGGGGGGATGGGGGGATGGGGTGGGGGGGACATTATCCATGGTGGTGGAAAATGGGCACTGGTGGAGGGATGGGTATCTGATCATTGTATAATCAAACCCAAGCACAAAAAATTGTAAATCTACAACTGTACCTCATGGTGTTTCACTAATTAAAAAAAAAAAAGGTATTTGGTATTGAATGCCTTCGCAGGGCTTTGCCGTGGTTGTTCTGGGGTTGTGTGCAGCATGAATGAGCAAGTTTGGCCCAGTGAAGCCCATGTTGAAAAAAGAAAAGTGACAGAAGGTGTCTGTCTGTCTTGTTTGCCAAACAAGCAAAGGTTTGGTACTGACGGGGGAAAGCGCTAAAATTATAAGCACACAGACCAGGGAATATAATCTTGGGATCCAAAAACTATAAACAAAATATCTCTAAGTAAATAAGGAAACCAGAGACACACAAGTGAATCTCGAAACGGAGCGGCTCTTGGCAGAAATGCCTCTGGACTTTGCATTAGGCCACCTTCGCTGGGCCACCCCAGAAGGGAGCGGGTGCTGTCCCTCCACCCGTTCCCTGGGGATCCAGGTGGCCACCATCTTCCAGAAAATCCAGGTATGTGCCAGCAGTGACGACAAA